AGAGTTGGCAGGAGGGACTGTGGGAGAAGGTGCTGCTGCCCAAGCCTGGGTCTGGCGCTCATGCCAAGGACTGCAGTCCAGGGGGACGGGGAAGCCAGAAGCCCCCCACGGGGAGGTGCATGTCCACAGGGCTTAGAGGCAGGGCTGTGCGGTTCCGTCACGGGGTCTGCATCTCGGCTCCCTGGCTGTGGACCTGACCCTTCTCGGGCGCAGGTGCACCATCTGTGAAGGAGGCTACACGGGCAACACCTCCGACAGGGCTCCAGGGCTGAGCAAGGACCCTGTAAAAGCCACCGGCACCCTGCTGGGCAAACAGCAAGCCCTTGACAGAGCAGCTAGGGAGGTTTGGAGTCAGGAGAGGCTCAACCCTAACACGCTCGGTCACCCCTACGATGACGCCACCTCTCCGAGCCGCCGGTGTCTAACTGGCTGGATGGTTCTAGAGCCCACGTAGGAAGCTGTGTACCGCGACCCACCCACGGCCACGCGTGCACTCAGCAACTGGAACTGCCGGCCTGAGGGGGTTCAAGAAGCACACCTGCCCTCTCCACGAGTTTGCGTGCACGTCCGGCGCTCGCGGTCCGGGAGTGTCCTGGGACATGCATCCGGGGCAAGGGGACAGGTGGGACCAGAAGGTAAGGCCGCGGGGGTAGGAGGAAGGAATCTGGCCCCTCGCCTGCTCTCAGAGGCTGCCTGCTGTGGACACCGGCACAGGGCATCTTCCCACTCGGGAAACTCCTGTCTGGGCATCAGGGAGACTGGCAGGGCCGGGAGCCTCCGTTACTCCCACCCCGTCTTTTCGGCGGGCAAAAGCTGCTTTCCTTTTGCCGAGGGGAGGGGTCCCACACCCAAGGGTCCTAGGCTGTCTGGGCTGACAGTGGGCTGTCTCCAGCCGGAACCACAAGGTCATGGCCGGGCGCTCTGAGGACAGAGCCTGTCGCCACCTGCTCTCCTCTTTGGAGCCTCAGCCAAGCAGGAGGAAAAGCTGTGAGTCAGAGGACTGGGTTTGCATGGGGCCTCAGTGCCCGGGGCCCGGACCCCAGCCAGTCCCGCAGACACGCTGAGCCAGAACGGGCTCACCTGGGCGAGGGGCACAGAGCCACCTGGAGGCTGAGACGCGGGTTCGAGGTCACGGAGGACACGCGTCAGGCATCCGGCATGTGCACTCAAGGGCACTCTATATTCTTTGGTATGTCCCCACCTAGTCTCTCTACAAGCCAGTTTGCTGCAGGAGTAGTGGGTGTTTGCAAGAGAAAGTAGAAAGGTTTTAAGAAGTCGGGGTTTATACAGAAGTCAAACTGTGAGAGGAAGAATGACTGGAATTGGAGACACCTTTCTTCTCCAGAACAAAGACTTCCAGAAAGCGCTCATGTGAAGAAAACCCCAAACCCTGCTTAGCAGCTGATCACTGAGGCCAAGACCCCCGTCCACCCGTCACACATAGTTCTGACGGCTGTGTCCACTCGGCCCACCACTGTTCACCTCCCCGGGAGGGCTGCTCGCGGTCCATGTCTCGGTACAAACGTCACTTCCTCAGGGAAGGTTGCTGACGGTCACATGCTCTCCACAGGGCCCCACACTGACCCTTCACGGCCTCTCCACAAGGGGAATTCAGTGCATGGTTGGAACCTCGCTGCCTAATGTCCGGTGGCTCCACAGGCCGAGGTTCCCTGGGAGGCACCATGCCTGCCATGCGCACACGGCTGGGCCAGGGCTGGACTCCTGCACATGCTCGGGGAACATGCATCTCACTGCAGAGAAAGCTGGCCACCTGCACTCCACAGCCTCGGCCAGCAGGAAGGAAAGTTTATTTTTTATTTTTTAAAAAAATTTTTGTTTCTTTTTTAAAATTGATTTTAGAGAGAGAGGAAGCAAAAGGGAGAGAGAGAGAAACATCAAGGAAAGAGAACATCGATTGGCCGCCTCCTGCATGCCCCCACTGGGGATCGGGCCCACAACCTGGGCATGTGCCCTGACCGGGAATCGAACCAGCGACCTCTTGGTGCATGGGTCGACACTCAGCCACTGAGCCACACCGGCCGGATAGGAAGAACAGTTTAAAGTGGAACAGGGGAGCCCTGGCCGGTTTGGCTCAGCAGTTGAAGCACTGGCCCGCAGACCAAAGAGTCTTGGGTTCGATTCCAGCCAAGGGCACGTACCTCATTTGGGGTTCGGTTCCCAGCCCTGGTCGGGGTCACGCAGGAGGCAACCAATGGACGTGTCTCTCATGTCGATGTTCCTCGCTTTCTCTCTGTCTCCTTCCCTCACACTCTATCTGAAGATAAATGGAAAAATATCCTTGGGCGAGGATTTGAAAAACAAACAAACAAGTGGAAGAGGGGAATCTTTAACACACAAAGAGCCCCGATCACGTTTATAATGTGGGTGGAAAAGAGAAAAGGCGGACTCTGGGTCCTGGAGCCTGTAATTGCTGCAACGGAACCCAGCTCGGAAACACTGTCCAGTGCCGTTTGGGGTACGTGTGTGTACACACATTCATTCAAGTGACTCTGACACTTTAGAATCTGCATCTGAGCCTCAATCTCATGACCTCATGTCCCCGCCAAACACTCTCTAGAAACAACAATCGATTTAAGGACGTTTCCCATTAAAAATAAATTTGGGTGTTTTTTTTTTTTTAATGTTTTAGCAGGTGAGTTATATATAGTTGATAGGAAATTCTTTTTTTTTTTATTTTATTTTATTTTATTTTTTTTATCCTCATCCGAGGACATTTTTCCATTTTTGTACAGATAGAGTGGGAGGGAGAGAGGGAGAGAGAGAGAGGGAAACATCGATGTGAAAGGGACACATCGAGTGGCTGCCACCCGCATGACCAACCAGGGCCGGGGACAAACTGCTACCGAGGTACGTGCCCTTAGCGGGAACCGAACCCGGGTCTCTCCGGACCGCAGGCGGACGCTCTAACCGCTGAGCCAAACCGGCCAGGGCGATAGGAAATTCTTTTAACTGGAGCTCTTTTCACTGACGGATGGTGTTAGATAGACAACATGTCGCAACTGTACACAAAGTTCATTATCTGTCCACTTCCAAAACGGGCTGACTCCACTGGAGCAAGTAGACATCACTGTACACGGTATTCATTTGGCAACAGATATCAAGAGCTTTCAAAATGCTCACACCTTTTGTCCCAGCCATTTCAAGTCTAAGATTCAATTGCAAAGAAATGATTACAGCTATAAAAATATTTCCGAGTAAAGAGGTTCCTTAGAATCATGACTTGTCATCGTGAGAAACTGACATAACCCAAGAGTCAAAAACAAAAGTCGGAGATAAATGGTTGTGTAAAGGATCATACCTCGAAATAATATAACATACACATGATAACAGAGCACAATAGGCAACTGAGAAGTTCCTACTAATATCTGATCATCACGTGTGTTTCCTCTGCGAAGTAAACAAACAAGACCCAAGAGGAAATGCAGTGAGATATGCATATACGCTAACACCCACAAACTTGTACACAGAGTAAAATACACCAAAAGGAAAGCAGTCATTATTTTCGGGTTGTAAGGTAACCGGTAAATTCTTTGGTTACTTTCTGCTTTGTGAATTTTCCCCAAAGTAGGATATATACTTTTGTCATAATTGGGAAGAATAATAACATTCATTAATAGAAAATGAGTGCTATTTTCTTGTACTTGAATAGAAAGTGTTTTATTAAAAAAAACAAAAAACAACAACAAAAAAAAACAATAAAGGAGGGGGTAGACAGACTGAAAAGGGTTGCTTATTCAGGACCAGCTGATCCCACAGAACCCAGCCTCCTTACTGAGCAACCAAAAGATGCAGTAACACTCCTCCGGTTTGAGTGTGCCCCTTGGGTCCTGCCGTAGTCGTGCTGCATTTTGGGGTCAGAGCATCTTTCTTGAAGAGGATGATTCTCTTATGGACGTTGCCCTAGAAGGCGGTTTGGATAGGAAGCCAGGAGCTCTGCTCTGTGGCTACCTTCACTCTGCCCTCTGGACAGACCATCCCCCCTCTCCTGGCCTCGGGGACCCCTTCACGCCGTGAACAGTGTGACCAGGTCGTCACAGAGGGCTCGTCAGCCAAGACTGACTGTGATTGTTTGCTTTTCCTGTCTTAGGAACACAGTTCCCTTCCCCTTAAAAACGAGCAATGAGATCAAATGATGCCTGAAATCAAGTGATTTTTCAGCTCAGACTGTAGATGAGTACACAAATAGAAACAGTTGCCCATTCGCTCATTCGCCACAAGAAGACATCACAACTCAGGCGGCCCAGGTTGGCTACTACTCTCCCAGCTCTTGGCTGGGGCCCCAAACTCTGGCCCCAGCTCTGGTCAGGAGGAAGGTGGACGTGGCCACCCCTCTGTGAGTGGCCGATTTGCAGGTGAGTGTTTCAGTTTTACTGTTGCATCCTGATACACAAAGGAAGAAAATCACACCAAGACAACACCCTTAATTCCATGGTGTGAACAACAAAAGTATAAAATGCTCAACAGCCATGACTGACCTTGTTGGGAACGCCACCCTCTCTTTCCCCTGCACTTTCGCCATGACCCTAGAAGTGCCTGTTGTCTGCAGGGCCTTCCCTGCCCGTCTCCGGCCCTGACTCCCTTTCCCTGGCCACTCCCCGACTCCTTCCCCTCGGCGCTCAAGATCCAGCCCCAATGCCGATCCTCTGCAGAGCCTCCTCCGACCTCTCGCCGGAGGCCTCCCAGCACTCTGTGCTTCCTTCTAAAAGTACGTCTTACATTTTTATTGTCTGAGCGTTGAGGGTGAGGGGCCACATCTGCCCAAATCATTCATGAGCCTCCAAACCTCCAAGCACATGACATTAGCTCAACTACTGACTAAAAGCAGGAAAAGCACAAGACGAGACAATACAACACAACACAACACAACACACGGTAGGCGAGGGCTGGCACAACCTGGACAATGGGTTGTCCAACAGGTGGGGTGATCCTGGCCCCGTAAGAGGTCTGCAGCAGGACGCCGGGGGAGGGGCACTGCCTACCTTTTTGGTCTTCACCGTGGACGTGCAGCAGTCCCCGCCGTCGTAGTTGCAGAAGGCTCTGTTGTTGATGGCATCACAGTAATTGTCTCCCATGAAGGGCTACAGAGGAGGAGAGAGGCAGGAAGGAAGGTGGCTGGTTAGCGCCCTGGAGTGAGTGGCAGGGGGGCGGGCTGTAATCATTGAGCTGTCCTCATCTTCTCACAAACCTCTGCCTGGCTTCAGATCCCAATGCCCCCTTGGACAAGTCAGCACTTCTACATTTATCAGAGTCTTATCTGACCTGTTTTTCCTAACTCAAGCACGGTCGTCCTGGGAGACACGCTCCCGGGCACTGGGGAACGCATAGCCCCCGCAGACCTCGTACGTCTTCCAGTGCAGGGCACTCATTTGACTTGAAATGGTCAGAACGTCTGAGTTTCCTTGCCCCACATTTTCCTGGTAGTAGGTAAATTAAAAACTCATCTATAATCAAATATATGCAACTATATCAGGAAGCTGAATGTGACTGGCCCAAGAGTTGTCAGGATCAACGTTAGAATTCTCGGGCGCGTGGCCCGCCGGTCTGGGTGGCCGTGGACTGCCTGTCACACAGGAGCACGGGGCACCGACGGCATGTGCGTCACAATGTGTGAGGTGGGCGCTGCTCTCCTCACGTCACAGATGAGGACTCGCTCGGAGCGAGAAAGGGACCCGACCACGGTTTCGTAGGCAGAGGGGTGACTTAAGTCTAAGTTGGCTCGGTATTTTTCTCTCTATCATTCTGGGCTCCATCCGTGTTGTTTTATTTCTTTCCTTAATCTGTTCCTCCAACTCTGTGATGCTCCAATGATGAGGAAAAGATGACGGATCTGAACCCAGAGCCGCCTCAGGGAGAAGTCAGGAGTCTCTGCGACGCCTACCCCGCCCAGCACTGGGACCTCCCCACCCGAGCTCTCAGCTCGCGGTCCTGTGCAGTCTGCCAACATGTCCTAGCTCCTCAAAGACACAGGCAATCTCCAGCTCATCTTTGTCGCCCCGTCACCTCGTTTAATGCTGGGCACAGCTGTGGCTCTCAGAGGCATTTTTGAAATGCTACAGAATTGCACTGCCATAGTGAGAAGGCGGTTGTCAGTGGTCTAGGAAGCCTGGGTTCTAGTCTTCCAAATCTCAGCCAGCTGGGTAGTTATCTGATGGTTTGGGCTATGGGGCTCATTTTCTCTGGGCCTCAGGACTCCCAGTAGTGAAGAGGTAGTGTTAGTGCACTGATTTCTCAGAGTATCCCCTCCTTCCCGTCAAAGGCAGCACTGTGCAGACCTTTAATATACAGAAAGCAGGTGATATGAAACCCCTCTGATTAAAGTTCAGGTGAGGGTCTAATGCTCAGTGACTCACTGATGGGAAAGATGTCATCAGTTGGCTAAGACCATTGCAACCCAGCACAATCTCTATGATTCAAGGGTCTCCCTTTCCTATCCTGACTTCTCCATCCCATCCCGAGCTCACAAGGAGCCCATCCTCTATGGCATTCCTAGCTTTTCATCTCTGCTACAAGTTCACAGAGTCTTTGCGCCCCAAATTCTGATGGCTGGTTCCATGTTCTTACTGCCCTGTTAGTGTCTAAGGAGGACGGATCTCAGCAAAACAAAGCCAAGAACAGGCAAGAGCTTTTCTCTGCTCAGGTGTCTCAGGGGTGTGTGTGTGTGTGTGCGCGCGCGCGTGCACACATGCACTTGGCTGAGAGCACAGGTGTGGTGGTCATGTGACAGCCCTAATAAGCACAGGATTCCATTTATATTAGAATAAAGCAGGAGAGAACAAACAAATGATAAGCCCTTTGCTTTTCTCTGAGCCTTAGGAGATCCACTTGTGGGCTCAGTTCTTTATGTTTTTCCTAATTTCATATATAAGCAGACAAATGTAAGAAACCAAATATCCCTGGGAACAGAATTAAGAAGAGGAAAAAAAGAAAAAAAAAAGTGTTGTTTTTTTTTTAAATTTGGCCTCTGAAACATGTCCAGTCTCGTCATTAACTACTTTCTTCTATGTGCCTTTTCCTGTAGCCATATCCATCCACCCATCCATCTATTCATCCATCCATCCATCCATCCATGAATCCATCATCCATCATCCATCATCCATCCATCCATCCATCCATCCATGAATCATCCATCCATCCATCCATGAATCATCCATCCATCCATCCATCCATCCATGTATCCATCTACCCACCCATCCACCCATCCATCCATCCATGAATCATCCATCCATCCATCCATGAATCCATCATCCATCCATCCATCCATCATCCATCCATCCATCATCCATCATCTATCATCCATTCATCCATCCATCCATCCATCCATCCATCCAGGCATCCATCATGCATCATCCATCCATCCATGTATCCATCCATTCATCCATCCATCCTTTATGCAACCCTGTTTATTGAATGCCTCCTTCTTGTTACACGTGTGCTAAAAAAGAAAGGACATAAAAGTGAGTCAGCATGGACAGTGCTCCTACTCCTCTAGACCTTACACTCTAGTGAGGAACCACACACCTAATTGGCCAATTTCAACTCCGGTGAGAGCTACGGAAGAAAGGTACATGAAGCTGTCTGATAAAGGTGGAAGGAGCTGACCTCACCAGGGAGCTCCGTGAAGGTGTCCCTGAGGGACCGACGTTTCAGCTGAGATTACGAGATGTGTGGGAGCTCACTAGACGGGGTGGAGAAGGGAGGATTTCTAGAGAAAGGGGATGTGAAATGACCTGCTACTTACAGATTTCTCCTGTCTTTGGTATTTCTCACGCTGCTACTTCTAATATTATAAGCAATTCATTCTTTGAGATCTAGGTCAAGCATCACCCCTCTCAAATGCCTTCCCTAACACCCCCCAAATGTTCTGTGCTTCTGCGGTTTCCTGAACCTGTTTGGTTATAGTCTCGGTGTGTATTTTAGAATGCTCTCCTTACTGTTTCCTTTACTATCCTGTGAGCTCCTTATGAACAAGAAAGCATGTCATTCATGTGTACACCCCAGATTTCCCGGCAAAAATGCCTGGCAACTGGAGCAAAAGTTAATCAAATAGATGTTCCTAAAGTGTTCATGTAGTACCTGGATGGATGGTGGAGACATGCATGCGTGGATGAATGGATGTGTGGATAGATGGAGGGCAAGAAGGTTCCACAGATGACTCAGGGAGAGAGAGCACAGTTACTGTTTCCACTTGACTAAGATCATTTTATTCTCAGAACCTAGAGTAGTGGTGGGCACAGAATAGACACCCAGTGAGGCTGGATGAATGAGAGAGTAAGTGACCATTCTGGACACCGCTTGGGGCAGAGGACTGGGGGCTCAGGGTCCCAAACCCTTTCTGGATCTTGGCTACCTCTAGACTCCAGGGTGATGGCCCCTCCCTGGACCCAGCATTTATATTTCTCCTAAGCATACTTTCCAGCCTGGACAAGAGACAAGCTATTAGTGCTATGCCAAGGAAGAAAGGAGATGAGGGCATCTGCAAGGGCGAAGGCGATAAGCATCACTGGCAGGGCTCGGAGCCTGACAGGTGAGGGTCTCCTAGGCCCCAGTGCTGAGTCAAAGGAGGGATCGAATTCTGCTGCCACACTGGTTGCTCAGACTGCTGACTCAGCACCCTGAGTGCCCAGGTAACCCAAGCTTCCTTTGCTCGAAATGCTGGACCGATCCAGAGAGATGGGCGGAAGCAACCGCCACGTCTTGGCCTTGGTTTGGCTGTTCCTGGCTGACTCTTGGGAGAATGGGGTTCTGAAAAGCTCCAGCGTCAAATGCCCGGAGAAGATGCCGCAGGGGGTCCCTAACCAATGTTTAGAAAAAAATCTGTGACCCGAGGACTGTCTTGCGACACTTACAGGTCAGGGGATGGTTCGTGAGCAGGAGGGGACCTTCTGGGGAAGAAAATGCACCCGTCTGGGAGTCAAGAGACCTGGGTTCACGCTTTGGCTCTGTGTCTATTATGCTGGGTTGTCTTGGGCCAGTCCATCCCCTCTCTGGCCCACAACTCCCAGTCTGTCCAACAGATGACTAGGATGCGATCATACTGAGGACCCTTCCAGTTTGAGCATTCTATCAAATTTCAGACCAACCACCATCCAGGTCTCAGTTCCCCCATCTTCACAATAAAACATCAGGTTTAGATCACCCAGAAAAGCATGTCTGGTCCTGACATTCTAAGAATTTCATCAAATACAAAGTTATCTAGAGCACAAAGTCTAGTCTGTTTCAGCAGAGATTGGGCCATGGACCTGGACAGAATTCGGGGCCTCCTTTCCACTGCCAGCTGAGAACCGCAGTATTGTGGGGTGCATGGACATGTCTCTGTTTTATGAGACGCACCCCCTAAACATGGGTGACATCCCCAGTGCCCCGCCCCTCCCCAAGCCTATCACGTGACATGCAGAGACAGAGCTCTGTGATGCTGTGAAGTCAGAGGGCTGAAGGGTCAGAGAGCACCTTCCCCTTGCACTCAGTGGTTAGGTCTAAGGGGTCCATATTCCTTCTGGGGCCGAAGAGCGAGTGAGCGACGAGCACACGGGAGAAGGAGAGCGACCTATAAGATGCTCAACAGTGACGTGGAAATTGGAAAAACCTGCCTCATGTGGTTCTGTGAAGGTTAAGTGTGATAGTTGGTAAAATCCTGGCATATTACAGATGCTGACTCCACATGGCCTCCCTGCCACCCTCACTCACAAGTGAATGTTATGCTGAACACAGGCCGAGGAGGCAGAAAATCCTGGCTCGGAAACCTGATTCTGTTTCCCATTAAACATGTTTTTGAGTGTGTTTGTTGATGTCTCTGTGCCTCAGTTCCTCCAGCTGTGCAATCGGAGTGGTGATTCCTGTCCAGGAAGTCAGTTAAAGGGGTATTTACAGCATTCGGAGGTACAGTACATGGTAGCCATGCTTCACATAACGGTAACAGTAGTAACAGTAGGATCATTTCTAGGGACTCACCTCACAGCCTTTGACACAGTGGATCATCGCAGGGTGAGGGTACCACTTGAGGCCAGCCGTGCAGACGACTCTCTGCAGAGACAGGGAGATGGGTCAGACGGGTTTGGTTCTGGGAGGGAGCCGCCTCTTTGTGGGCACCCCACTCAACCACCCCACCTCTTGGATCCTCCAAGTTCTGGCCTCTCCTTCGCATTTACACGGAGACTTTGCCCAGGTACTTACAGTCACAGGAGCCGTAAGATTAAAATGACTTGTGTGTTTTTTGTGGGCGTACTGGTTCTGTATTTCCCTGGCGGGAATGAGGGCGGACAGGAAGCAGAACTGGGGGACGGAGACGGGGTCAGAAAGGCCCCTCAGAAAATGTGTGGCTGATATTTGACCCATGGACAGAGCTGGGGGTAAGGTGGGAGGAAGGAGGAAGGAGAGAGTGTGTGTGGATGTATGTGTGTGTGTACACGTGTGTGCATGTGAGTACATGTGTGCCTGTGTGTGCATGTACGCATGTGGCTACAGCAGGAAGATGGGAGAACAGTGTGGCGCAGGGAGAATGAGAACACTGAGGACCCCTTTCCCGGGAGAACGCTGGGAACACATTAAACAGGCACATTCTGTGATGCCGCCCTGGACCTCATGAATCCAAATCTCTGAGGTTCAGGGCCTGGGACTGTGCATTTTAAAAGCGACCCCCCAGAGGCTTCAGGTCCACTATGTAGCTTGAACGCTGGAGGATGAATGAACTGACCCAGCCGCCGCCTGCCGCCAAGCCATGGCCGCTCACACTTCCTCGAGGTCCCCCCACTCTCCCGCCGTCCCCTGAGACTTTGTGCGTGCCCCTCGCCTCACTGAACTGCTGCTCCCCTCTTTCCATCTGGACGATCCTTAGTTACCGCTGAAAGCTCTGCTCCAGGGTGCCCTTCCCCACCCTCCGCTGGAGCTTGTAGGGACACGTACACTCATATATATTTATAGGCTTCTTTGATAATAATAATTGTTGTTATGATCATGACAACTAAAATGTACTGAGTGCATTCGTGGTGCGAATTGCTTTGTGCATTATCTTATGTATGTCTTGCCATGCAGTGAGGTGGGCATTCATCTCTGGCCATGCGGACAATAATTTCCCCAAGCTCCAAAGCTGTTAAGTGGAGAAACCAGGATCTGAAGGCTAGCGCATGTTTGGGAAATGATTTAAGGCAGCTCATCATGTATCATCCAACATGATGATCATGTGTAAAGGAAGTGAAAAAAGAAAGCAAAAACTAAGAAGATAAAATAGCATCCTGAATGGGGCTAATGTAATCATCCTAGAAGCTCCAGTCTCTATCCTCCCATAGATGCCTTGCTTTGCATGCCAGATTACAACCATTTCTTTTTTAAAGTAAAAACTAAGATAAAAATGACCTGGAGGCAAATGCTTCCATTTGCAATGAGCAGTCACAGTGTCAGGGGCCAGCCCTGGAAGTCTATCTGATCAGGGCTTGCTCTCCCGGCTGAGGGCCAGTTGATTTATTTTAATCAAGAAACGAACAGTCCACACGGGCTGGAATGTGGAAAAGCCAAGTGACCAGCTCCGTCTGTCCCTGAGGGCAGACCTGCGTGGGACCCAAGCAGTAACGCGGTTCTTGGTGAGCTTGGAACAAAGGATCATGCAGCTCTGAGATCTGGCCGAGACTGGGTTGGGTGCCTTTCTTCCCTGCCCCACGCCATCTCTGGTTTGCCCTTGGGTCTTCCATGCCTAGCATGGTGCCTGGCACATGGAAGAAGCCCAAGAAATATTTATCTTATACATGAATGAATAGATCCATTTCAAGCACAATGTTGGTGTAGAGTACCAGTTCAGTGTAGACTAATTAAAGATTTTAGAAAACAACCTACCTTGAAAATATGCCAACTAGTCTTGAAATGCGAACTCTATGTAGCCCCCGACTGCCTCTATTGACATGTCCACCTTCTCCCAATAGATACACACAAGGTGATATATGGGAAAGACCTTGGGTGCTGAGGTATGACAGGTGTGACTTAAAACTGCTCTGTGTATTTTCACACTGAGACTTGGTGCTCCCATTTGTTCCATGGGTACTGAAAATGTCATAGACTTGCTTTGATGACACACTGAGATAATAACATGGAAATGATTAACCTAGGACTGGTACTTAAGGTTCTTAAGGGCAGAGCCTAGGTTTTAGATATCTCTGTCTCTCCCCAGGAGCAGGCATGGAGCACAGCAAACACATTCGTGTTGACCAGATGAAGGAATGTGCGCACCCCTAGTGTTCCTCCCTTCCTGCTCAGACACTCCCTTGCCGCCCTGCTTCCCAGCCATGGGGCCAGAAGTAGAGAATCACCTGCTTTCCCCCTGGGAAACGTTAAGCAGGCTTCCATCTCTGGGTCTGAGAGTCTGTTCCCAGCCAAACTTCAGGGATGCTGGAGGGGCACTTGGTAATGGTTCAAGTAGTAGAAAGAGCAGGGCTAAGATCCACTGAGGACTGGATGCCCATCCCTCCCCCTGTTTATTTGGGAGCTAATTTAATCCATCTGGAGGAGTGTCTTGGTGTGGTTGTACACGTGTCTGTCAGTTGAGGTTTACCTGACGTGAGTTCAGAAAAAGGACTTTTATACTATCTGCATGAGCCTATTTATCTTTCCAAGGTGTTTGAATTTTCCACTATTTCCCAGGGCTGCCCCACCTGTCCCCCTACAGGGCCCTCTGCATGCGAGAGCTGGGAAAGGAGACAAGCAGCAGGAGATGAAGGAAAGGCTGGGCTGTTTGCATCACAGGTTGAGAGATCCCGATGGGGCCCCTCAGCTGTCAGCCTTGTTCCTCCTGATGCCAGCAGGATCTCTAGTCCCATCAGAGTCCTTTCAGACCAGGTTTTGTAAGGTGGCTTTCATTAGTTGCCTTGGTGCACAGGAAGAATACACTGACTTCCTGGCTGCAGTGACCACCAGCATCAACGCCACCAGCACTACCACCATCGTCAACACAACCAACCCCACCATCATCACCTCTACCCTCACCACCACCATCAACAACACCAACCCCACCATCATCACCTCTACCCTCACCACCACTACTACCATCAACACCACCATCATTACCTCCACCCTCACTACTACCACCACTACTATTATCACCTCCACCAACCCTACTATCATCACCTCCACCCTCACCACTACCACCAACACCAACCCTACCCCCATCACCTCCACCCTCACAACCACCACCCTCACCACCACCAACCCCACCCTCATCACCTCCACCCTCACCACCACCACCAACACCGACCCTACCCTCATCACCTCCACCCTCACCACCACCACCAACACCGACCCTACCCTCATCACCTCCACCCTCACCACCTTCATCAATACCACCACCAGCATTATTACCATCACCTTCACCAGCGTCATCAATAACACCAGGACGACCACTGTCATACCACCACCACCTCCACCACAGCCACTACTATCGTCGTCATCATCACCAATTCCATCATCATTATCCATATCCTTATCAACACAAAATCCTCTATTAAACAAATAGATGGTCCAAGCCCTGTGCTCAGAACTTTCATCTTATGATAATTCTTATCATAACTATGAGATAGGTACTAATTTTGACTGTGGTTTACACAAGAAGAAACTAAAGCACAGAGAAGTTAAACAACCTGCCCAAAACTATACACAGAGGTGATGACAGTCCGAAATTAAACCCACATCTATCTGCTTTCCAGGTCTCTATTTTGAACTCTACACTCTCCTTCAAATTCCCCTGGCCCCCAAAGCTGTAAATGTAGAGTAGTTTACTCTTCCGGCCAATGGAAAGACCAAGGTTCAAAAAGATGGAGAGGCTTTGAGACAAATGTAGGAGGGGGAAGTGACTAAAAGATGAATATTCCAGAAAAGATGGGCCCCAGGCACAGCAAACATACAAGAAAGTATGTCACAGAACTTCCTCATCCCGAGGCTCAGATCTGACACCCTCCTGATACTTCCTAAGATGTGCCGTCTTTTCTCATTGATGTTTTCCTTGGTTTACGGGATCTTCTATGAGTGAATTGTATCGTTTAACTTTTTTGAAAAATTAAAAAATGTATTTTTGCCTTTCGTTGTCAAGGACTGAGCTTCCGGTTTTCTTCTGGGTAAGCTTTTTGAAAGCCTAGGCATTTTCCACCCTGTATCCCTTGTATGTGAAAAATAGCTGCCATTTCAATGGAGGTGCACAGTCAATGTTTTTGAATGAGTGAATGAACAAATGAGCCGATGAATGACTGTATGATCGTGTCCACGAGCGAATGAGGAATCTCTGGACTCTGGACACAGCTCTCTATCTGTGGGCTCCCCCTCCAGGGCACCTGCTATCCCCTTCTATGCATCGATATTCCCTCTGAACTATCCCACCTCAGACCTTCAGACACTTGGCAGGCTTTTCCATGGTGCTGCATTCTCTCCAAGGAGTGAATTCTGCATCCTTTGTTTGCAAGTGTTGCCTGTGTTTATGATGTATAACATGTAAGGTGCTTGCCTTGCAGGATGGATTCAGGAGAATTAGCCTTGGGTTCAAATTCTGATTCACCCACATTAGTTGTGTGAATCGGGCAATGACAACTTCTCAGAAAGAACTTCAGCTTCTTCATCTATTAAACGGTGACGATATTTATGTGAGCAGAGTGTGATGGAGACAAATGAGGTCGCACACACGAGACTGCCTAACAAGCAGCGCCCAGACGTCGTAGACATTCAATAAATGGTGGTTCCTTTTCTCTTTCCTAATCCATTCCCTCTTCCCCTTTCCCCCTCGTTTCCTCTTTCCTCCTTCCACCCCTTTTTAGAAGCTATTATGAAATCCAAGGTCCCACCTACCTAGAGGAATTCTAAGCCTCTGAGGTTGTGAGCAGCACTTTCTATGGGGAAACTCTCTCAGCACCTCGGAGCAAAAGGAAGTGCAGGGCAGACAGGGGGTGCTCCCGAGGTGCTGGCGGGAGAGCCCGAACCCTGAATTTCGATGCTCGGGGCCAGAAAGAGTCTACCTCATTCGATGGTTGCACGCCAACAGCTTCCAGGCTACACACCTACAGACATGTTTGGTTTGGCAATGAGGTCCTTCACAGAAGTCAGAATTATTAAAAAATGAGAGATTTCGTATTTTAAAGACTCCAGATTTCTTGAACTCAAGGAAAAAAAAAAAGGAAAATCTGGCCACCCTAAACCCACATTTCCACCTTGCCCCACTTGGCTAGAGACGCCCCCTTTGGAAGGAGACCGTTATCCTCCGTTCACACAGCCCCCAGCGTTCCCTGCAGTTCCTCCACACTCAGCTGGGGGCTTTTCCGTCTGCTCTTGAGCTTGTATTGTGCGGCGCATTTATCAGGTTGGAAGAAGATTTCCCTGTGTCCCTATCACTTTCCACTTTCAAAGTGCGTGTGTGTGTGTGTGTGTGTGTGTGTGTGTTGGCGGGGGGGGGGGCTTCCACGGGGGGGGGGGGCATTTCAAAAAATATAAAAGAATAGAGTGTTTTGTTCTTTTTTTTTTTTTAATCCTCACCCGAGGATATTTTTTTTTCCATTTATCTTTAGATAGAGTGGAAGGGAGGGAGAAGGGGGGAAGAGAGAGAGAGAGAAACATTGATGTGAGAAAGACACAACGACTGGTTGCCTCCCGCACAACCCTGACCAGGGCCAGGGGACGAACCGCAACCAAGGTACATGCCCTTGGCCAGAATCGAACCCGCGATTCTTTGGTCAGCGGGCCGACGTTCTAACCGCTGAGCCGAACCAGCCAGGGCGAGTGTTTTGTTCTTAATGAAAGTAAAACTAAACTTTAGCACACCTGAAACTAATATAATCTTATATGTCAATTATATATCAATTAAAAATACACACAACCAACAGAGATTACCTTGGTGGTGGGGCACTGCCTGGTATGCAGGGGGAGGACTCTGGGGAGCTAGAAATGCCCCCATCCCAACATGGTTTCATGAGTGTTCACACGCATGCGCACTCACCAAGCCGTGTGCTTGGGGAGACCGCGGAAGGTACAGCTCAATCAGAACAGCTGTATTTGAAAAGGCTTATCGGTTAAGTTGGGTAGTATGTACATGACTGTGATAATTTCTCTAAGTCTTTCTGACATATTGATAGTGGATACTACTCCTACCACCATGAGAAATATACACAGGCATTTGACATACAAAAGCGATGTGTTTGGCCTGCTTCACCCATTCAGCCCGCCTGCTGGTTCATTTTTTTTTTGTTAATCCTTACCTGAGGACATTCTTCCATTTTTAGTTCAGATAGAGCGGGAGGGAGAGAGAGGAAGAGAGAGAGAGAGAGAAACATCGACGTGAAAGGCACACATCGAGTGGTTGCCACCCGCACGACCCAACCAGGGCCGAGGACAAACTGCAACTGAGGTACGTGCCCTTAGCAGGAACCGAACCCGGGTCTCTCAGGACCGCAGGCCGACGCTCCAACCGCTGAGCCAAACCGGCCAGGGCCGCCTGCTGGTTCTCACAGATGTTTGAGTGGGTGGCTCTTTGAGCTGAGCCTCTCACTTCACAGAGGGAAACTGGACTAAGAGTGATACGTCCCTGGCCGGCTTGGCTCAGTGGTTAGAGCGTCGGCCCGCCGACCAAAGAGCCGTGGGTTCAATTTCTGTCAAGGGCACATACCTCGGTTGCGGTTCGGTCCCTGGCCCTGATCAGGGTCGTGTAGGAGGCAACCAATTGATGTGTCTCTCTCCTATTGATGTTTCTCTCTTTCTCTCTCCCTCCCTCTCTCTCCCACTCTGTCTGAACATAAATTGAAAAATATCCTCCGGTTAGGAGTAAAATAAATAAATAAAAAGTAAAAAGGGATACGATTTGTCCAAGGACGTACACAAGAAGGTTCCTGGGCTTGGACTAGAACCTTGGTCACCTCACTCAACAGCCATAAATATTGAATGAGCATCTACTGTGTGCTGGGCACCAAGGGGCATACCATGGCAGTTAAGATGACCCCCAGCCTGCCCTGGTGAGGTCACTGCCATGGTGTGCCAGTTATAACACTTGATCTCCGTGGTGATGCTGCACTCGTCTGAGTGGGCATCGCTGGCTCCGTACGGCCCGGGAGGTGGGAAGTGCTTCCAACAGCCGGTCTGAAAGGAGCTCCCGCAGTGGGCTGCGGCGACGTGCATGGGCTCCCCAGAGGCAGGAGGTTCCTCTCTCCCTCACTCTGTGTGCAGTGATGGCAGCTGGGGAAACCTGGCATCTGCTGGGGTGGGAATATTGACACCACAGCAAGCGGCAAACGCTACAAGTCAGAGTTTGTGCTTTGGGGACAGCCAGCTGCTAAGCATTTACCAGCACACCCCTGGTAAGCGGTCAGCAAAGGTTTTGCCTTTATTATTACTACTACACATTCAAGAGAGGCCGCGTGGGCGGCGGGTGTAAGCTGCAGCAGTAAACCGACCTGGGCACCTCTCCCGTTCATCTGAGACTGTTTCCTCCACTGGGAAAACAGAGACTAATACCGCCTCACAGTGGTGCGTGTGTGTGTGCATGCATGTGTGTGTGCATGCGTGTGTGTGTGCATGTGTGTGTGTGGGGGTGGTGGGAGTGAGGGTGCAAATAAAAGGTGGAGAGTGCCCGCTGCAGTGCCCGCCTCACTCAGGCGCCCATGACCTGCCCGTGCTGGCCTCTGCCTTCCTCACCTGGGCCCAGAGCCTTGCCCCATCTACCTGGCAGCGGCCCGAGGCAGACCCGCCGCAGGCAGAGCCCCCAGGGCCCGCTGACGCCCACGCCAGCAGCTCGGGGTCTGAAGCTCTCCCCACACAAGGGGCAAGTGCGCCGACGGCCGGCTTCCCTGCCGTATTCCTGGAAATCATCAATCTCTGCCCTTCGCCCTCCTCCCTTTTTCTACCACATTTTTTTCCTCCTGGATAATGAGGCCTCCGGAGACCGGTGGAGGTCTGAACCTCGTTACGGCTCTCTCGGTAGGCCGGCATCAATAAAGGCCGGCAGACCAGGGAACCGGGTGGGGGCTGGGGGCAGGCAGCGGGTGGGCAACGGGGGAGGGGCCGGCAGGCTTTCAAATCCCTGGATTTATTTCACAGTGAATTATAACTGAACTCTTTAGTGCCCAGGGCTCACGGAGGGAAGGGTGGGATTCCACCCGGGGTGGGGGTGCAGAGAAGAGGCCTGGGAGCCGGCCGGGCCAGGGGAACATGGTCGGGGTCAGGCACAGGAGCCCATGGCCCTGGGTGTGAGCGTGGTCCCCTGGTCTGCCCTCTGTGGGCGTGTGCCCTCTGTGGGCCTGTGCCCTCTGTGGGCCTGTGCCCTCTGTGGGCGTGCGGGAGTCCGGTAGGAGAGAGGGACGCACGGCATGGCAGGGAAGGAGCTGTGACCACGGTCCTGGCTCTGCTTCCTACGTGACCCTGGCCTGTCCGTCCCCTCGGCTCCTCTGTCGCACGAGGGGCTTGGGCCTGACCTGCGGCCTCCTCGGGGCTCGGATGCCAGGGCTCTGTGCGCGTTCCTGGGTGTGCACAGCCCATCGGGGTGCACTGGGGCATTCAGGGGGAATCTCTGCGGGACTCTGGGTTGGGGATGGGGAAAGGCGCGTTGGGTAGAGAAAAGGGACGGAGCAGGAGCTTAGGGAGCCGGGCTGTGGGCTGGAGGTGGGAGTCGGAGCAGTGGGGCAGGAGACAGGGGGACACGGACGGAAACGTGGGTGGGGGAGACAGCCCTGCCAGGGAGGGGGGACTGCAGCCCTGAGAACAGAGGCAGGAAAGCGAGATAAAGTTGGAGATGGACAGAGAGCAGGAGAGGGGAAGGAGGGGGGGAGAACACCGGTGCAGAGGGGGCTGCAGGCCCGAGGGCTGAGTAAGCCTTCACCCTCCTGGCCTGGGCCCACCGGAGAGACAGGACACCCAGTGCTGGGTTCTGCCCAGCTCTCCCGGGCGTGATCTTCAGCAGGTGGGCAGACAGCGAGGCCTCCCAGCACCCCAGGCAGAAAGCCTGGGCCCGAGACATATCGCCCTGCACCCCTGCCCCCTTCTCCCACTTTCTCCAGGGTAAGGACTAGAGCCCAGGACCGGTACATTGCGGCCTGGAGTGCATGTCGCCCTGGAGGACAAAAGTGGGCCCCCGTCGGTCCTGGGGGTCCCCGACTACAGGAAAGTGGGAGCGGCCAGCCCACAAATGAGCTGGGCAGTGACACTGGCTGCCAGGAGGCGGGGGCCCCATGCTCTGGCTGGGGCGAGCCAGCCTGCTGCCTCGAGAAGAGCAGGCACTGGGCTCAGGCTTGGGTTCGAGCTCTCGCTCCTGGGAGCTCAGTGTCCACAGCCGAGAACACAGGCAACACCGCCCACCTTCCACCACTAAACCGGTCCGGGGTTTACATGCAGCCTGTGGGCAAGTGCTGGGCACACAGACACAGGGGTGCTTCACGGACGGTAGGTGTTTGCAGCCCCCGTAGCACATACTAATTGTCTCCACTGAAGGAGCAGAGCCCGGGGGAAGACACCAGAGATCCGGGCTGTGCAGTGTGAAGGGCCTTCCACGGGCTTCCACGGGGGAAGCCCGACAGCACGTTCTCATGAGCGCGGGGTGGACCCGACTGCTCTCTACCTATGTGCTCGTGTCTCGGTTCTCTCATCTGTAACTAGACACATCGGTCTTCTTACTCCTGGGCTGTCATCAGGATTCAGTGGGACAGCACATAACAGGTCCTTCTCACAGGGCCCGACGGAGGAAAGCATCAATAGGTAAGGCCTGGAGAAATGAATGGGGACAAGTCCCCACCCCGGGGAGGTGTGACGCTTTGATAATTGAACACCTGCAAAGGGATTAATGCAGGGCCAGGCAAAGGGAGTTCAGCAAGGTCTTTTCCTCCTGAGCCCCAGGCAGGCGCCTGTCACTCACCTCCACCCGTGTGGGGTTCAGCCAGTGGGGGATGTCGCGGACGCTCACGTTTGCCGGCAGGATGATGGGCTCACTGTTGTGGTCCAGGCACGAGGTGGCGCACTCAGACCCTGCGGGGAAGCAGAGTGTGAGGTGGCCGCTCAGCCCCGGTCCCCGGATGTCCCTGGGCTGTTCGCACACGGTGTGGCCCTGCCACTTTCTGGTCCCCTGTGGACTGGGCTGTGCCACCCTTGAGGGCAGTGGGAAGGAGTGAGCCCCCAGCAGGCTGCCTCGGTGTCCCTGACTGTCCCCTTGTCTCCGGTCCAGCTGGCACCCACCACCATTCATGCTGGCCCTGGGCCCAGGTTGGTCTCGTTTCTCCTTTGCTTAACAACCTTTCCGAGGTTCCCCACACCCAGGACAAAGTCCACCCCCTTTCCCTGGCATTTGTGGCCTCCTGTGATCTACCATCTCACCTCCCACTGACCCCTTCGGGCTCTGGCTAGTCCCACTGGCCTGCACGTGGTTTTCCCTCTGACTCCCATCCTCGCTCGCCTCGGTCCCTCTGCTCTCGCGCTCTCTCCTGAGCCCCTCCACCCCTGGCCTTTCACGGTCAAATCCTACTGGTTTCAAGGCCCAGGTCAAACCCTCCGAGAAGCCTGCCCTGATGTGTACTGTGCTCAGCAGGGACGAGTCTCAGTCCAGTGTTGGCTCTGCCCCTTTGTGTACCCTTTCCACAGTCATAGTGATGCCCTGGGTGGCAGGGACGAGGGGGGTCATCTCTGAGCCTAACCTGCCACCGGACACACAGGGACAGCTCAGTTAGCACCGGCCGGCTGAGTGCTGACCGCTGAATGCAGTGCCAGCTCCTCAGACCAGACCTTCCCTCTGCCCAGGGCCTTCATGCCTGCCTGCTCTCCTTTAGCTGTGCAGGCCTGAGGGCCCTGCAGGCCTGAGCCGCTCAGGGAAGCCGTCCACGCTCTCCCGGCAGGCCCGGCCCCTCGTGGGCACCATGGCAGCATCGTCACGTCACCCTTCCCGTGGGCTCGGTGCCCACTCCGCCCGACCAGGGGCTCTCGGCCCTGCTGGACTGTGAGCTCCGTGAGGTCAGCACACTCTGCTCCCCGTTCTGGGCCCCGAGCCCGGCACTGTGCTCGGCCGACGGTGGGCACCCCGTAAGTATTTGTGAAATGGATGGAAGGGATGTTGAGTGGCTGAGTGCACAGATGGCGGGGAAGTGAGTGAGCGAGTGAGCGAGTGAGTGATACAAGGAGTGAATGAGGAATAAGCGTTTAGGTGTCTTGTGAAGGAGGAAGTGAGTATGTATGTGGATGAATGAATGAAAACACGACCGAATACATGGAAAGTAACACCAAGAACTGAAAAGAAAAAGAATCAGGTAGAGTTGATGAAGGCATGGATGACCAACGGGGACAGACGCTCGCGGTCCTGGGGTTTCTCCTTGAAGGCAGTGAACTTTCAAGCTGTGGGCTTTCAAGTGGACTCTAATTTGGCTCATTCATTCTCCGCCCTGACCTCACACATGCTGAAGTCTCCTGAAAATCAATTCTACCCCCCGAGACGTCCCCAGGGCTCCAAAAAGGTGCTTATTCATGTGGGCAAAGAACTGAGGTGTTAGAATCTGACCAGAGCCCAGGAAGGTCATTTCCCTGCCCCAGTGCCAAGACCACCCTTGAACACTACGTGGTTCACAAGAGACCGTCAACTCTTTTAAAAAAAAATTCCATTGGTCATCTAAAGGCTCCCCTCCAGATGCATGTTCTTGTGCGTATACAGGGTGCGGCAAAGTCGGTTTACGGTTGTTCGTACGGAAAATAATACGCAATGAATACATAATAATACAAGAACAAACTCTGTTTTGTGGACTCACAACTGTGAACCTACCTTTGCCCCACTCCGTAAATACACACACGCACACAAACGCGAATACTTGCACACACACATACACTTCTCATGCACTCATGGTTCATCTGTCCAGTGTCCGTCCTGTGGCCAGCCTGTCATCCGCTCCAGTCCAAGGGGCGCCAGGGCCGAAGAGGAGGCGGGGGTGGAGGCAGGTCAGGACACTGTTTAGACGCTCTCCCCTTTACACACAAGGACACAGCCCAGAGGGGGAGCGTCCTGCTTCCTGGCAGTTTGTACATGGCTTGTTCTCCTGCAAATGCAGCCCCGTGAGATGGGTGTCTCCACGCTCCTTCCAGAGCCGAGAGCCACGGGCACAGAGCTCAGGGGAGGGCACCAGGACCCCGTGTCTGCCTTCCAAGCGCAGCGGCGGGCACGATGGAGCCCCGCGGAGGAAGGGGGCAGTGTGGGTGAGGGGCCAGAGGAGGAGACGGCAATGGGGGGGACGCAAGTGTCAAGGTTGTGATGAGAATAAAGGGGGGACATGCTGAGCAGTGGGGGAACTCAGAGCTGGGTGTGTGTCAGGAGATCCTTTCCGAAGGAGTTTTAGGGGGCAAGGACGAGGCAAGGCTGATTCTGAAAAAAGAAGGTGCAGCCTGTGAGCAGCAGGCCAAGGCTGCCTACCCCAGGGGGAGGGCGCCCTGCGCGGCCGCCCTGTTTCGAGGCTGCTGTCCCTGCCGCCCCTCCTCGGCGCCCCTCCCCCACCCGCGGCCAGCTCTGGGCGGCAGGACCAGGCTGCTGTGTTGTGATATATGAGCCTTAATTGGCATCATTACAGAGCAGTGATCTCACCAGGCCCTGCCGCCTCTCCTTCGCGGGAGGAGCAGGGCGGGTGGCGGAGGTCCCTTTCCCAGGGCTCCTGTCCCGCTGGGGAGGGCCCCGCTGCACTCTGGGTGGCTCCAGATGTGCCCTCGAGCCCCCAAGTCCAGCTCCAACCAACACATGCCTCACCCCTGTGTACAAGGCCTCGGAGAAGTGGGCTCTCCCCAGGGAGGACCTCAGCCTGGGAGGGACCCCTGGGGCCCTTTGGAGGTGAGGAGGGAGAGGGATCCCCGAGTCCAGCGGGAACCCAGCTCTCCCTCTCCCTCCTCCCCAGTCCCTTTCTCTCTAGACCCCCCATGTGCCCCACCCACCCTGGCGACCCTGTTCACAAAGGGCGTCTGCAGGGCAGTGAGCAGGAGAAGGGAAGGAGACCCCGGTGCCGGGGCCACACAGACTTTTCCTTTCTGCTGTGGCCACGCAGGTGCTCAGTGGGTGACGAATGCCACTGCCCACCCCACCCGCCGCTGGACGGTTCCCAGGGCGCCAGAGCCAAGTGTTGTGGCTCCTTTGCCTGTGGTTGTGACCCGGGAATGCCACGCATGTACAAAGTGGACACGACATGTACTGGTGTGCGCTGTGTGTACCTTCTGGCATCTTTCTGTGTGTTTGGTATGTTTGGGCTGTAAGATGCTTTTGTGCCTGTGACGTGTGTACTTGTGTGTCACCCACGAGTGTGCGGCTGTGCGTGTGTGTGTGTGATGTAGTAGTGTGGCATTTGGTAGATGTGTACGGTCTGGGCATGAGTTCACTGAAGGATGTGTGTTTGGGCCTGTCTCGTTATTAAGCATTTATGCATGTGTGAATATATCTGGCCATAGAGATATAAAGAAAGTCTGTTTTTACAGGTTTTTAAATAGAAGTGACTCAAGCAGTGTTTTTCTCCCGGGGCTGCTGAAGGCCAGTTGTGAGTATGACTGAATATTCACGAGCATATCCTAAGTTGGGGCAGGGACCCCATCACGGACATGAGTGTCCGAGCCACGCAACCCATCAGCAATGATGGAGAGAAGCATTGGCCTTGGAAAGGAGCATCCAACCCGCCTCGCTGTGGCTACACCTGTGGCCCTGACCTTCTAGAATGTCTATATTGGCAGGCCCTACGAGGTCCCAGCTCTCTGCACCCTCCTGTCAGGGCTTTTGCAGTGGCGGCCCTGTGGGACCTTCAGGGACCTTCGGAATCAGCACAGGGCCACCATGCACGCTGGTGTCCCCGACCCTTCAGGGCAGGCGTCCGGACGGAATCAGGAAGGGCGCTGATTTCTGCTCTGAGTGTAGGTGGAGGACATCTGTGCTCTGAGGCTGTTTCCATCTCCCCCAGGAGTGGGCAGCCCCCCCCCCCCCAACCACAGGCCTCGTCTGTGGACGAAGCGACCACACATTTTGCCGGGTGCAGAACATGTTGGCTCTGAGTGCCGGGGAGCGAGTGTGCACAGATAACCTTCTGCTCCACACATGCCTGGTGATTGTCCCATAAATCACACTGGCCATGAGAAAGGCCATTCAATTCCCTGGGTTTTTCATCACGGTCAGTTAGGAAATCAGCCCGAAAGGTCAGCACCACTGTCCTCCGCTGAGCTGACTCAACGCACGCCGTTCCCCAGAAACCTTGGAGCCCGTGATGAATGCATCTGTCCAGACACCCGGTTTCCACCAGGCGAATCCCTGGCATTGAACCCCAGGTTGTCTCCCGTGCTGTGAGCACTCTGCACACTGGCCCTCACCCCTCCGTGGTGTTCTGAAACCGCTCTTTCTGGATCCTCCTCCTGGAGGCAACTGAGACCCCGTGGAGAAGACTGGGGCTTTGGAGCCTGTTGCTACCCCTCCCAGTCTCCATGTCCTCGGCTGCTGACTCACAGGGCCTGACCCACAGTAGGTGCTCATGAGTGATTAGCGTTCCGATCCATACGAGGGCAGCAGCCCTGAACCACGACTGTTTTCTTATCTCCCTCCCCCGCCACATGGCTCCTTTTGTCTGGAATATCGTTTCTTGCCCAACGAGCACTTTCAAACCCCTGTGTGAGTGTCCTTCTGAGAGGCTCTGAGAGCCTCCTGTGTGCCCCGGGCATCGGCCAGCTAGCTCCTCTGTAGTCCTGCAGTGTGGCTGCGGACACTCACCCCCCACTGCTCTGACATCGGGCCCTGAACTCGCTCTGGGAGGAAGGGGTCTGGTCTCCTCCGTCTCCCTTTCCCCAGCGCCTCACGCCGGGCCTCACCTGGCAGAGGTACCCACCGCCCAGCCAGGCTCCAGCCTGGGCTCCCGCAAGGCCGCGCCCCTCCTCGCGGACCCCCGCGCCCAGGTACCTATGGCGTAGCCGTCAGGACACTGCAGTTTGAGGTTGCCGTTGAGCTGGCCCGGGGCCGAGCACTGGCCCTGCATCTCTCGGCAGACGTGGAAGGCGCCGCTCCAGGTGCCATCCTTCCGGCAGTGGATGACGTTGCTCCCACGACCCTGAGCGCCACAGAAACACAGTCAGGACCGAGAGGCACCGCCCGCGGTGAGGCTTCTCAAAATAACACAAGGAAACTGCTCCTCGTCTCCCGGGGGTCTCGAAGTGCTCCCACACAGTTCCTGAAGGGGCAGCACCTCCACATTACAGATGGGGACACTCAGGGAGGACTCCGTGTGGGCAGGGCCTGCTCAAAGCTTCCCAGAGAGCCAAACTCCCAGGTCCCCACGTCCTAGCGCAGTGTTCTTTCAGAGATTTCAATCAGGGGGATTTGTTCTGTTGGTTGGTGTTTGTTTTCTTTCCTTCTTGTTTTATTTTTTTATCCTCGCCTGAGGACATTTTTCCATTTTTTGTTCAGATAGAGTGGGAGGGAGAGAGAGAGGAAGAGAGAGAGAGAAACATCGACATGAAAGAAACACATCGAGTGGCTGCCACCCGCATGACCCAACCAGGGCCGGGACAAACTGCAACCGAGGTACGTGCCCTTAGCGGGAACCGAACCCGGGTCTCTCCAGACCGCAGGCCAACGCTCTAACGGCTGAGCCAAACCGGCCAGGGATGGTGTTTGTTTTCTTGTAAGTGGGAAGGCAGGGGCCCAAGTGCTCTCAGCTCCTACAGTGAGCGCAGGCGTGGGCCTGGAGCTGTTCGGGAGGGCGGCACGTACCAAAGCTTGCTTCCTCCCAGCCCGCGAGAAAGCACCCCAGGCCAGGGCTCTGCCATCTAACGAGGCTCCTGGGCCCCGCTGAGACGCTTCTCTCCAGGGCATTGCCTTTCTCTCCCCTTCTCTCCCTCCCTTCCTTCGGCATCGTTCCATTCCAGCAACAATGGCACCGAGAAGGTGGCGTGAGATACTTCTATTTTGCCCTCGCTCAGCTCTTTTTTTTTTTTATCCACACCTGAGGACATTTTTGCATTTATCTTCAGATAGAGCAGGAGGGAGAAAGAGAGAGAGAGAAACATCGATGTGAGAGAGACACATCGAGTGGCTCCCACCCACACGACCCCAACTGGAGCTGAGGACAAACTGCAACTGAGGTACGAGCCCTTAGGGGGAACCAAACCTGGGACTCTCTGGTCCGTGGGCCGATGCTCTAACCGCTGAGCCAAACTAGCCAGGGCTCCTCACTCCGTTCTTTACAATAAGCCATCTACAGCCCCCTGGCTTCTGCACTGGGGGGGGGGGGGGCACTGCAGCTGCGGACATGGTCCTTTCTGCAAACCCCCTTCGATGCCAGGACTCTAACGGGAGTCTAGCTCTGTCGAAATCTCAGAACTGCCTCTGAGCTCAAGGCCCATTTCTTGGTGCCCATTCTGTGCCCAGCTCTGTGGGGCCCAGAAGTAAAGTGAGCCAGTATCTGAGCTGGGGGTAAAGACAGTCGTGCGAGCCTCCAGCCGCGTCAGTGTGGCTGTGCTCGGACACAGTGCTGGGGGTACACAGGACCGTCACCGGTTGGGAGAGGCCAAGCAGGGAAGGCTGCCCGGAGGAGGTGATACATGGGAATGAGTTTTCAAGGGTGCGTCACATCACAGGCAGAACAGGGATGGAAGGACATCTCGAGAAAGCCAAAGGGCACGTGCAAATGCAAGGATGTATAGTTAGCAGCAGAGAGCCCCCAACCCCACCAGCCTTGCGATCGCCAGGAGAAAACCGGAGGGGGTTGAGCTGGTAAGGCCAGTAAGGGATGGGGCCTTAAGTGTCAGCTTACATTTGGACTCTACCCCTTGGAAATGGAGAACCACGGTGGTTTCTGCACAAGGGTCCACCTACCCGCGAACCGCTGTGCATGCTCTCCCTCGTCCAAGCTACGATGACAGAGAAAGCCCAGGAGGCGAGAGGAGGAACTGAGCTCCACCCCCGCACCGTCTGTGGAATGGCTCGCTCGCCCTTCAGCTCCCACTGAAACCCCTGTGTCCAGCCCCCGGGGCGCCCCAGCCTTAACTCTCTCTGATTCTCCTACTTGCTGCTCCCTACAGCACCATCACCAACCTTGAACTTCAGTGTAAATCGCCTGTGTTCTCCAACACACCGTATGTATGCTGGTCCCCACTGCCATGCTCTGTGCCCCTTCCGTCTGCTGCTTCCTACCCCCCTCCTGCCCATAATCATCACGTGGCACCAGCCATCATATCCTAATGATGCCCCAGTTCTGCAGAGCGCACTACCGTAAGGTCGCTGACACGCATCACCTCTTTGTCTGTCATCTGCTCCACCCAGATGGCGAGCTCCTCGAGGCCCAGGAGGGTGCTCTAGTCACACGCACGACTTCAGGCCCTCCCGCGATGTTCAATAGGTCCTGGCCACTCGTTCATTCATCACTCAAGAGATATTTCCAATCACTCCAGAACTGTTTGCTTAACCAAAGGTGGGGTGAACAGGTAGAGAGGTATGGGATGGATGTGGTTAATAAACAAAGATCAGTGAACGCATGGCCCAGGAGGTGAGGACGTGAAGAAATGAGGGGATGAGGGAGTGAATGAATGAGCGTGGGCATGAGGAGATGAATAAACTCTCGGAGAGGGCCGAAGCTCCCCTGTCTGGGAAAACAGCTGCAAGGAGGCAGGATTCAGGAAAGCAAGGGGGCCCCTCTCCGGGCCTCTCCTGGGCCAGCAGGAGGAGGGCCCGACTGCAGCGCAAAGCCCTGTATTGGTAGAAGGGTGGTCCACCCGAGCACGCAGCTGCAGGACAACTCGCAAGTCCTCCCCGGGATGTTCTGTGTGAGCTCGGGGAAAGTTTAAGAGGCTCCATGTGGCTTCGGAGAACCCTAACTCTCCCTCCCAGAGCCCCAGGCTCCAGGCCCCATGATTCTGCTGGGCCCCCGGGGGAGTAGGAAATTGACCCCAATTTCCTGGAGCCTTGGCCTGAGGCTATGATGCATTTGGCCTCCAGCCCCCGAAGGGCTGCAGACCTCAGCACTGCGTGGGCCAGAGTTGGCCGGGGAGCTCGGTTTGCAGCAGAGATGGATCAGAACTAGCTGGAATCTGCTGGGGGAATTTCACACCGGGAAGGTCCACCGTGGTGGGAGCGTGAAAGAACTGGTCTTGCTGCTTCCAGGCGCTCTCCCTCCTGCCCAGCGCCCCTGGCGCTCTGTGCTATTGACTAAATCTGCTCTAAAAGACTCTTGCGAAGATGCCCTGGCCTTCCAAACAAGGTGTGCTCACAGGCTGGCAGTCTCGGGCTCCCAGATGCAACCCAGACAGCACGTCTGGCCCCACCTCTTGCTCCATGCACGTCCTTCCCCGGGTCCTGTGGTCACCTGGCCTCGGCAGCACGCTTCTTTCCCTTCCGACCCTCACCCCTTCGCTGTGCCCTCTGCACAGCAGACTTTCTGGAGCCTCTCTGGGTTCTTAAACGCTCCCTCAGGACTACATCCGGGTGCACGCAGGGTTGGCCAACCACCTGGTGGAGAGCCTCGGAGTGGAGCCTGATGTGGAGTCCGGTTGGACCACAGACGCCCTGACACTGAGCATCCGATCTGGGCAGACCAGAGACCACTGGCAGGGAGCCCACTGGAGTATCTGGCTCTGAAGGTACAAGTTTGCACGCCACGGTGCAATCTTTCAGTAGAGGGCTGAGCATCCCTCAGCAAAGCAGGCTGCCTCTGTGTGCCTGTGCCTCCGTCTGCAGAAAAGCACGTGCTGTCTCCAGCTGCCTGCAGCTCCACGGGCCCACAAAGAACTGCAGGCTTAAAATCATGATCAGATACCTTTCATGTGCCAGGTGTTTTCCACACAGTGAAAAACCCTTTTAGCAACACAGTCCAGTAGAAATGATGTCCCCTTTTACAGATTTGCGAACTAAGGCTCAGCTAGGAAGTGATAAAGGAAGTTCCAAAATGATGCTTGTGTAATGGTTAAGGGTTTGGACTAACGCCAAAGTGCCCAGGTTCAAACCCTGTCCACGACGTCCTGTCTGTGTCCCGTAACTTCACTATGCCTCAGTTTCCTCAGCTGTTCGACGGGCATGGCGTCCACCACCTGAGAGTCATTGTGAGGATTGTGGGAGTCAGCATACGGGAAGCTCTTGGAGCGTGACACACTCATTGGGTTCCCTAGGAGTTAGCTAAGGCTCTTGACCACTCTGTACGTCTCTAAGGGCACTTCAGAATCAAGCCAACCAGTGAGAGAGGGAGCTGGCGTGCCCAGTCCTGTGGGCTGCCAGTGCTGTGGGCTAGGTCTCTGGACTGTAAGCCTCTGTGAATTTACTACCATTGGGGGGTGGGGGGGTGATGAGAGGAGACAAAGAATTAGACTTCTACTTAGTAGAAATAAAAATAAACAAAATAATGACAGAAAGAAAAGTGGCCGTACCAGGCCAAGGCAGCACCAAGTGCAGTGCAGGACTTATTTATCTATTATTATCATTATTTTTTTATAATATCTTTTTTTTATTGATTGTTTTAGAGAGAGAGGAAGAAAGAGGGAGAGAGAGAAACATCGATGAGAGAGATGTTTGATTGGCCGCCCCTACACGCCCCGCACTGGGAATCGACCGGTGACCTCTTGGTGCCTGGGTCGACGCTCAACCACTGAGCCACACTGGCCGGGCTGCAGAGCGGGATTTAAGCAGTTAAGCTGTGGAAGCAGCCTGACCCCACAAGAGGGGCCCCGGTTCTATCACCTCCCAGTTGTGTGATTGGGGCTAACCACCTGACCCCACTGAACCGCGGCACCTTGTCTGTACGATGGGCCAGTAATGCCGTGGGGCTTAAAGAAGTCGTCTCCGGAAAGCACGTAGCCCAGCAACGGGTGTGGAGTAAACGCTCAATAAATGACAGCCGCTGTTGATATCGGCTCTGTTCTCGGTCAACGCCCTCGCGTGCATTTGCTGCTTCCAAGTTAGGCACCGACTGGGCAGAAAAATGTGCCTTGTGTGATGACTTGGTTAGGAGACCTGAGACTTTAAGGTCTGACTCTGCTGGTAACTGGCTGTGTGACTTGGGTACATCCCTTGCCCTCTCTGGGCTCCCGTGGCACCATGTATAAAATAAGTGGGTTGCAGTGGGGGAATCTCTGAGATCCTGCCCACCACTAACATCACATGGGCCCGCGATGTTTCTGGCTTCCTCTAGGAAGCCCTGGGTGCTTGGGCAAGCACCCGACGACCTTGAAACGACGTGCCCCTGCCTGCGAGGGCCTCATACATGAGAGCCATGCTGTGTCCACAGCAGAACCCATCAAGGCAGGGCCAGCTGCACGCCACTAGTCTGAGATCCATGTAATAAACTGAGTGCACATGGTCTCCACCCCCACACCCCCACCCTCCCTCTCTTGCTCCCGCTGAGATGCCAAACCCACTCTAAGTACACGACTTTGTACACAAAGCACCTGGATGTTTTTCCCCTCCTGCTCCAGCCTCTGTGCACACATCTCCCACAGACCCTGCCCCCGCCCCGAGATGGCCCCACAGTAGTTCTTATGAGAGCTGAGCCTGAATTTCCTCCTCGGACAGCTGAGGAGCTTCTGGGCCGGGTTAATGCTGAGACAATTAGCACTTCCCCCCGTCACCTGGAATGAACCCCCTTCCTTTGCCACCAGCCGGGCCTGGGAACACCTGGAGGCAGGGGGAAGAGCAGGACCAGGCACCGGTCAGCACCACCTACTGACTGGCAACCCTGGGCGAGCCCCGAGCCTCCTGACCTTCCTTCCTCATCTGCCAAACGGGCGTACTAGGTCTTTTCCAGAGGTTCATAGTGAGCTGTCGACATAAGAGAAAGTCTGCAACCCTGGCATCTGGGAAACACTTTAAAAATGAAAAAGCCGTTCTTATTAAGGTTCTGTGTCTTGGTTTACAACAGCGATTTTCAACCGTGTGCACAAGGAATTTTTTTTTTTTTTTTTAAATCCTCACCCGAGGATATTTTTCCATTTTTTGTACAGATAGAGTGGGAGGGAGAGAGAGGAAGGGAGAGAGAGAGAAACATCGACGTGAAGGAACACATCGAGTGGCTGCCACCTGCACGACCAACCAGGGCCGGGGACAAACTGCAACCGAAATACGTGCCCTTAGCGGGAACCGAACCCGGGTCTCTCCGGACCGCAGGCCAACGCTCTAACCGCTGAGCCAAACTGGCCAGGGCTGCACAAGGAATTTTAGAATGGGCAGTACCTGACTGTTCAGTCAGGGGCTCTTCTCCCTTAGATTGTCAAATTAAAAAATGGCAACAGCCAACACGACAATAACCACCCAGTGTAAATGAATCAGAATTATACATTTTTTTTTTTGGTCAGATCCGCAAAAAATGTATTTTGGGGGCATGCCGCAGAACTTTAGAAATTAGTTTGTGTGTGCCATGAGATAGAACAGATTGAAGATTGCTGGTTTACAAGGATAACACTATACATTGTAGAGCTGAACTGTCCAATGGGGTAGCCATGACACAAATTAAATGTGGGCTATTCAAAATGACATAAAACCTCGTATTTCATTGCTCAGTCGCATTTCAAACGCCCCAGAGCCACACATGGCCAGTGGCCACCATGTTGCACAGAGCAGTAATGGAACATTCTCGTCATTGCACACCGTTCGACCAGGCAGTGTCAGTCTAGAGAATTCACCTGTTCTACAGGTTTATTTGAGGGAGAGATCAGGTTTCTTTGTGGTTCATACTGATCCCCCCCATCTGGACCTCATGCATGATGGATGCCCCCTTCTCTGACTCTGCTTGGCTTCTGCAGGAGCCCACATGGAGCATCAGGGCACATCCCCCTGGAGTGCCCTTCCGGCCGGTCCAGTTCATGTGTGCCTTCCCAGGGCTGCCGTGGATGGGGGTGCAGCTTGTGTACGCACAACTCCAGGGGGCGCTCGTAGACATGCACTCCTTTCATGACCTCATTTCGTCCTCACAGATACCCTGGGCGGTAGCTGGCATTATTACGTATGAGCAAGCCGAAGCTTAGAGAGTTAAATAACTTGCCCAAGTTTTCCAGCTCGTAAGTGGCAGCACCGGATTCGAACTCAGACGCCAGCTCGAGCATCCTCCTGGCTCCCCAGGAACCAATAAAGTGGAGGTTTTATTTGTTAATTTGCTTTTAGTGGCAGTGGGAGAGGGAATGTGAATCTCCCCTACAACCGCCTCTGCTCCCTGCCAGGATCTGAAACTTGTTTGGAAGGCAAAGAATTCCCACTCCACGCAGGCGATTGGACTCAAGATGCTCCGGGCCGTCCGTTTCTGCGTGTTTACAGGCAGCGAGAGGGGATCTGAGGTGAATACTAGAATTGGCTCTCAGTCCCCGGGTCTGAGGGTAGAGGAAATTCATTTGCAGTACAAACTGGAAACGTCAGTGTATTAGGAGCCCATTTGGCACGGGCCCCTCATTCCCCGGGCCGACGCGCATACCCTGCTCCTCTGCGACCAGCTCTCCGCCCGTTGCCAAACTGAACTGCTTGAGTCGTCTGAAAAATTTACATTTTCCTCTCCTTTAAATACAAACTGGCCATGAAAGGTACTTGGCAAGCCCCAGGCAGACTGGGTTTCAGTGTGATAACATGACCGCGGCCAGAATGTTATTTGGCTCAGTAGTCGGGGTAACAGTTAGCAACAGTTTTATGTAAGGGAGTGAGAGGGACGCTGATCAGCCTGCGTGAGGCGGTGGTAAGCTCTGGCCTTTGCTGGTTCCAGCGCCGGCTTCTGCTGCCCTGCCAGTCAAGGATGGGATGACTCGGACACAGACATCGGGAGAGGACACTACCAGCTTGTCCACACCTGGGGGACCCGGGTTCTGATTCTGACTGCCGACTCCAGCTGTGTCACCTTGGGAGGTTGCGTGACTTCTCTGAGTCGCAGTTTTCTGAACTGGAAAACGAGGAGACTGGCCCGGATGGGTCACTGCAGCTCCCTGTCCTGCCCTGTCATTGCCGGAGTCCCTACTCGGTGCCTGGCACTGTCCCCAGTGCTGAAAACACAGGCCGATTAAAGATGTGGCCAAGGACTTCACAGCCTGGGGTGGGCAGAAAATGAATGTTGGGGCACTGTGTCCAGTGCTGTGAAGGGGGAACCCAGAGGGAGGGCACTGAGCCCAACAGCAGACGGGACAGCAGGAAAGAGCCCTGGAGAAAGGGCTGCCTGAGTCCAATTGCGAAAGACGGTTAGTGGGGCAGCTGGAAAGGTTGAATGAGATACTGCAGAGGGGACAGAGGAAAGGCCTTGGTGACAGAGGAAAGGTCTTGAATGCCACCCTGAAAAGTTGGGATTTTAGCCCAAGAGAAATGGAGCTGCTGGTTCACAAGGGCTTTAATTAAGCAGGGGAACTGTCACGATGAGATTTATGCTCCACACAAGCCTCTCTGGCTGAAATGCAATGCACAGTGGACGGAGGCAAGGACGCAGAAGCAGGGAGGTGACCAGGAAGCTGCATGGTGGCCTAAGTTAGGGCGGAGGCACTGGAGACAGATGAGAATTTCAGATGTCTGGGAAGGAGAACAGGTTGGACTTGGTAATTGCGTGGAGGAGGTGAGGACGGTGGTTTGGACAGTTCCTGGTACTTGCGAGCCAACAATACAGACTAATGAGGACTGGCTGAGGGTGAACCTTGCACTGGGGCCCAACTGGCAGAGCGCTGGCCTCACCCGGATGAAGATCCTTGGGCACCTGTGAGACGTGGGCTTGGGGTTCAACCTGACAGGGCCGGGTCTGTCAAGATGGGGTTCCTTATGGATTTTGGTCGTCTTTGGAGTCAGCATGGCCTCTGATTTCTCTTTCCCATTCCTGATTCCCTACACATCTTACTGGGTGGTGTGGGGGGTATGCGCAAGGATTTGGGCAGATTAATTCACAGAGCTCCAGCAGGGGCAGGGTGTTGGGCTTCTCTCCGTTACATGTGGATTAAGATAAAATTCAACCCCTGCCCTCTCCTCCTCTTCTCCCTTTCTCCATCCTTTTCTCAAAACTGCACTTCTAGTCTACATATATCTCCCTCTCTCTTGATGCTTGAAGAGCCAACTGATGGTCATCTAGTGACTCGAAATGCTCCAGGGACCAGTACAGTGGTGATGGCGGCAGAAAGTTGGCAAAACAGCCTTGGTCGCTCCTACCAGTCACTTAACTTTGAAATCCATACACTGGTATTCCATACATGACTTCCTTCCTTGGGGTTCTGATACTAAAGTGTGTTCAAAGCTCTGAACAAGTCGAACTTGGCATTACAGGAGAGAGAACAAGGCTCAGAGAGGTTCTAAGGAACGACCCTGAGAACCCAGACCCCTAACCTCTGCATTGGTAATACTGCTCTTACACAAATCGGGCACCTGCAGAGAGTCCCCTAGGGGAAGTGGTTCTTGCAATACGGGCTCGTTTTTGGTAAGCAGACAGGGGACGGACCCAAGGATTGATCTCAATGTCAAGGAGTCTTACCTGGGTGGCATCGCTGTCCTCACACTTGACCCTACACTCGCTGTTGAACCGGAAGCCGTCGGTGCACTGGTAAAGCCCGTGGAATTTCGGTGGGGGTGGGTCACAGGTCACAGGAACACAAGCTCCCTCCTGCCAGCTGCCGTCTTGGGTACACTGAGTCTTGAAGGCCCGTCTGCAAGGAAGAGATGAAAGGACAGACGTCTCAAGGACCAGGGGGCTAGACCCATGCTCTACCCAAACACCCCAAGTTTCTCTGAAGCCAGCTGGCCCTCTCCATTCTTGGTCCCCTCCCTGTCCTACTGGGGGTGGGAGGCATGTGTAGGGATGGAGGAAAATTCATTCAAAGAACTTCTTCAACAGGGGCAAGCAAGAGTTTCAGACTGTGTTGCAGTTCCACGTAGAATGAAATAAAACCCAAGCCGTCCCTTCTTGCCCGAGTGTGACTGGTGCTAACACAAACACGTACCATTTACTATGTGCCAGGTACTCTGCAAGCACCTTACATATATATCTCATTCATTCTTCACAGGACCTTATGGAGAACTTATTATTGCCCATCTTATTGTTGAAAACCAGAGGCCCAATGAAAGGGGCACACCTGTCATACTTCCAATAATAAAAAACAGAAAGAAAAGAAAAAGAGAGGCCCAGAGAAGTAAAGTCACCTGCATGAGGTCACACAGCCAGTAGGCAGCTACTGACAATGTCCTTCAAGGCTCCCATCACACAGAACGGGTTTTGCCTCTGGCACAAATAAAATGAGCCCTTCCTTCGAGTCTGACAGCCAGACCCGGCTCTGCGACTCCCCAGACCCCGAGCTTGTGTCTGCAGCACACTTACTTCTTCGACTTCCGCGAGGAGCCGGGCACATGGTATCCGGGTTTGCACTTGTACTTGCAGAAAGAGCCCACCTTGTGCTTGTTCTCTCGGCACCGAGCGGTCTGCAGGTCTGCGTTGGGCACCGGGGGCGGAGCCAGACACATGAGCTCGCACAGGGCCTCGGGGAAGGACCACAGCCCGTCCTCCATGCAGGTCAGGAGGCTGTTGTTGCCTGGAAACAACAGACGGGCAGGGGGAGCAGATGAGGGTCTCCGACAGCCAAGCTTATTCACCGGCTGCCTGGACTTAAGCCAACCTGAAGAACCAGATCTTCCGCGTGTGGTTCCAGAGCCTTCCACTTACATCCCAGGAACCTAAGGAGGCGGCGAGAGCTGCCCTGAAGGAGACCGGGCTCAGGGAGAGACTCGCCCACGTGCACAGAGAATTAGGACTCAAGGCCCCCGGCTGCCGCTCACGAGCCTCTTCCCTGCAGAGAGAGACCCCCACGCTCCTTTCTGCGTGGCCAGGTGGCCATCCGAGCCCAGGGGGAAGAACTTGCTTTCTGATAACTGACAGAAGCAGCCCCAGCAGCTGAGAGCTGGTCCTATGTGCTGTGTGGCCTGCAGCTGCCGCTCCTCGGGGGCCCTGCGCCCCTGCATCCGCCCCGCCTCCCCTCGTCGCCTGGAAGCCACAGCACCGTGGTATCTGAAGGTCTGACCTTTTCAGTCCCCAGCGTTCGGGAAGTTTTGCCAAAGCAGCTGAGTGAGCAGCGCCGTCCCCGGGGCCCGTGCCAGCTCTCGCAGACATGCCGACTGCCCCGGGAAGCTGGCCTGGGGGGGACGGCGCACGTCTCTGGGCTGTCCCCTGCCAGGTCGTATGCTACCAACACAGCCTGCCCCCAGCCCCCGAGACCATCGGAGATGGGCTTAAAGCTTGGGCTTCTCCATCAGGTTCTCCTCGTCCACATTATACTGAAGGGTGTTGACAGCAGGGCCGGGAGCCCCGAGGCTCTGGGATTTGGAGAAGGTCTGGTCTGAAGGGCGGAGGGCGGAGGGACAGGGACCCGCCGGAGCTGATGTTTACGAAGCAGGGAGTGCTTTGAGGTGGAATCTCCTGTATCCTCACAGCAGGCTCGTGGTCAGACACTATGTGTTTGGAAATAGAGAGACTCGGGGAGGGAAGTGAATGGACTGAGTTCTCATAGCTGGCGAAAGGCAAAACTGGGGTTCAAAACCAATTCTGTGTCACTATAAGATGGTTATTGGTTCATTTATTTCTTTGGTTAATCCGCACCTGAGGATATTTTTTTCATTGAATTGTAGACAGAGTGGAAGGGAAGGGGGGAGGGGAGAGGGAGAGAGAGAGAGAGAGAGAGAAACATTGATGTGAGAGAGAAACATCGATTGGTTGCATGTCGCATGCACCAGCCAGGGCAGAAGATCGAACCTGCAACCCAGGTACGTGTCCCTGACTTGGGATCAGACCCACCACCCTTCAGCGTGCAGGCCAACACTCTAACCACTGAGCCACACCGCCTAGGGCAATGGTTATTGTTTTCAATGGGAAGCTGGCTATATATGCTCAGTAGAGCCCTTAGTATCTATTCTTAGAGGTGAATCTCAATAGCCTATCTACAGAAACAAGACAATTGCTCCTGCCTTTCATGGTGATAAGAAGATACGATGGAAAAACAACATTTATAAAAAGTATCCAGAAAAATGCTGTGGAATTCCTTATTTGCTTCTTTCCCTCCCTTCCTCCCACCCTCCCTCCGTTCCTTCCTTCCTCCTAACCTTTTGCCTGTGTTAGTAGATCTACAAGGGTCATGTGAATTGCATAGTAGCCTCCATTTATTCAACAAGCATCTATACAGCACTTACTGTATGCCAGCTACAATTTTATACGTAGGGACCAGGCAAAGACAAAACTTCAAAAAGAAACTTCCAACCCTGCCCTCCTGGAGCTTCTGTGCTCATTGGATGGGGAGGAACACGATGCAGTATCCCAAGAAGCACATTTTTGGGTGTGCTAAGCGGCGGCAAGTACTATGGAGAGAAATAAAACAGGAAAAGGGAGCCAGAGAGAGTCCTGTGTGATTTTATGTAGGCTCCTCGGCTTCTTCCCCCGCCCCCCTTCCTGTCCTTGCCAGTGTGAATCATCTGGTGAGCACAAGATAATTTAGTGTCTGTAAACCCCCAGAGGATCCCACGTTGATAAACTGTGATACTGCAAAAACAAACTACAGATATTTCTACATCGAGTGCGAGGAGTGACGGGTGTGGAGGGCTGATTCACTTGGCTCCCACGGAAGCAGAGGCTCCCAGACCCCGGAGGTGACCCCTGCTGTCTGCACCACCTGTGTGTCTGGGGCAGTGGTGTGGGTGCCCAGGCAGGGCAAAAGCTTAGGAAGAAGCAGAGTTATCAAAGATCTGGGGAGAACACCCTCTCTCCATTCCCCAAGAAGGATAAAATATCTGTGAAAAAAGTGTCAGGACTCTTCAAAAGGATCCCGTATCTGCTATCCAAATCATAAATTGTGAAATGTTCCTTTGTGGCAAGATAGCATGAAACTTGCAAAATATGAATCAAGAGAGAAAACACACAAGCCAGCAATGTACATCCCAGGAGAGGGTAACCAGGCGTTCACCCTGTACCACGGTCCAAAGCAGCAGCTAACGCAGGACCACAGACACGCCCTGCCCCACGTCAAACAAAACCCACCGGACTGTGCAGTCAGCATTTTATGTGCAGCTTGAGCTGCTGCTGTGCATGTACGTGGCTTTGAAGAAAGTCAGGTATGACACGTGCTGTCCGCGTCCGGCCTGTATCCCCTTGGCCCTGACCTCTACACTCCAAGGTCCTGCTCGGGGATACACGCAGGGCAAGTCCACGGTCCTGAGGTGTCAATGACCCGGAAGCAGTACTCAGGCAGAAAGGGAGCTGGTGGGTCCCCCTGCCAGCCTCCTGAGCTGCAGAAACTGCAGACTGCTCTATCCTCGTACCTCACAGGGCTGGGATCCCAGCAGCACCGGCTGTAGAGAGACCCCGACACTCCAGCCACTCCGTGCTGCCCTTTCTCTCTCTCTCTCTCTTTGTTTAATCCTCACCCAGGGACACTTTTGCATTCATCTTCAGACAGAGCGGGAGGGAGAGGGGGGGGAAGAGAAGAGAGAAATATCAATGTGAGAGAGACACATCGAGTGGTTGCCACCCACATGATCCCAACCGGGGCCGGGGACAAATGGCAACCGAGGTACACGCCCTTAGTGGGAACCGAACCCGGGACTCTCTGGTCCGCGGGCCGATGCTCTAACTGCTGAGCCAAACCGGCCAGGGCGAGCATTTTGCCCTTCCTCCTTCCCTGCCTGAGCTTCCTCAGGGGCACGAGGTGAGACGCACGCGTGAAGGCATTTCTGAGCCGGAGTCCCTCGTGCGGGGAAGAGCGCTGATGTCACAGACTGGCTTCCAGAAAGCAATGTGACTCTGACCTTCACTTGTTCATCTGTTCAAGTCAAGAGGGCAAACTTGCTCAGCCTGTCTACCAGTGCGCCTAAGGACATCTCTACCTCGAATGAGTATCAAAATAAGTATAAACGGCCCCCAGTGGTGGAGCGTCGACCCATGCACCAAGAGGTCGCCAGTTCGATTCCCGGTCAGGGCACATGCCCAGGTTGTGGGCCCGATCCCCAGTGGGAGGCATGCAGGAGGCGGCCAATAGATGTCCTCTCTTATCGATGTTTCTATCTCTCTTCCTCCCCCTTCCTCTCTCTCTAAAGTCAATTAAAAAACATATAAACACAGTGTCAAAAGAGATGTGCCTGTTTTCATCATTTTGTTTAAAAGATTATACAGAAGACCAAATCTCTTTGGGATTAACATTCATCTACAGCAGAATACAAGGTGAGAAGGGCCAGGAGACCTAAGGTCCGGCTCTTCGTATCCCGTACATGGTGTTGGCATTTCTTGCTTCCTAAGGATGGGAAATGCTTCCTCTTCACTCTTTTATTTCTAGAGCACAGCCTGGTGCCAAGCACAGAGCAGGCACTCCACATCCACTGGCTAAGCGCATGAGGTATTACGAATCCACCTGTGACCCTGAACAAGTCAGCGAACCTCTCTGACCAAAGCTGTCTGCGTTCTCACCTAGCCCTGACGTCTGAGGCTGGGCAAGGCTATACACTGGCCACGGCGTTGTTTTGAGAAAACAGAAGTGCGGCCAGTTAAGGACAAATAAACACACGGGAGGCTCTGTGCTGGTGGAAGTGGGAAGAGGCTGCTTTCTTTTTCTTGGTAAGAAACAAAAGCCACAGGAGGAGAAGAAGAAGGACAAAGATCACAGCCGTGGTTTGGCCCCCAGGATAGCCCAGATTCTGCTATCTTCAAAGTACTGGGTGACAAGATGAAGCAATCTTTCAGGAGTGGTACGAAAATTCCTCTTCGGAGGTGACCCTGCTTGTGGAAAGATGCTGGATGAGACCCGTGGAATAAAGCTGAACCCTCCAGGGCTGGGCCACAGGCTGCGGGGAAAGACAGAAGGGTCCCTGCCTGAGAGAAGAGAGAATCTGGAATCCCTAGAGGGTGGGAGGCTGTGGCAGGATTCTGGGGGAGAGGAGAGGGGTGAATAAAAGAGCTGAGCAGGCCTGGCGGTTACGTGCTGGGCACTCTAGGACGTGGCCAGTCTCCCCGTGGAACCAGCTCCGTTCTTGTCTCCAGATGGTATTGGGTATCTTTTGGAAACTGGTGAATAGACTGAGTTTTAAATCTGAGGTTAGGGAGGCAACGTAGATAGGAAATAGAAAAGGCAAGAGCCAGAATAGAAAGCAGGTCTTCTAAAAAGATCTACGTAGAATGAGGGTCACTTCCTGGTGACACCCCACTCCACAGTCAATTTCAAGTGCCCCCAACCTGGCTGAGTTGACGTGCTGTAAGTAATGGTGCAGTTTGGGCCGCTCCATTGCACACCGATGATGTTGATCTTGAAGGTTTTCACTTTGTTTTTACTTGAATGTTTTTTTTTCCCCCTCACGCACTTTTGTGGGTTCTGTCTACGCACAGTGTTTATTTGACAACGGACCTTGGCAGAAGTGAGTGATTCAGGGCTGTGCGTTCTCCGGCTGTTTTGCACACTTCTCGAAGGGGGCTTGGAACGCAAGTGAAAGTCAAGACAATTCACCTGGAATATAAGGGGCAAGTGGGTTTGTGGTGCCACCGGTGTCACACCAGGTTCCCAGGGTCTGCCCTGGGCTGCTGGTCCCGGGTGGTGCTGCGCGCGTGGGGACACTGACCTCCGGGTTCCGGGAGGAGCAGAGGACAGAGCAGTCTGCACAGCTCGCGGGCCCCAGGCCCCCACGGCACAAAGAGGCCAGGAGGGTGCCTCGGAGAAGACGAGTGTTTGCAAAGCAAGTTCTCTGGCTCGGGCATTTTGCCCTGGCCACCTCTTGTGATCCTCAGCCCGGCCCTTTAACGGGCACACCTGCGTCATTTTACATGTGCGGGTGCTGAGGCTCAGAGGTGCGAAATGGCTCACCCATGGTCAAATGGAGCAGAGCCAGGAGGGGCTCCTGGTCCAGCGCACGGTGAAGCCCCCTCCTGGCTCTGCTCCTTGTGTCCCACTGAACTGCAGGGGAGGAAAGACCAAAGGAGGGAGGGAGGAACCGGAAGCAAACGGAACACTCTTTATCCCAGGGCTTGAGAAGGGCGCCCCGAACACGCTCGTGAGAGGCAGCAGGGCCTTCGCTGGACCCGCTGCCGGCAGAGCCAAGCAGGAGCGTCTCACCTGGACTCTGAGCTCCAGGTGATGCTGGGAACCAAGGGGCATGACGTGCCAGTGGGCTCCAGGGGACGTGTGGCCAGTGGGGAGATGCTCCCCTGTATTATTATTTTTTAATTCTTTTTCTTTATTGATATTAGAGAAATAGAAACAGCAATGTGAGAGAGAACATCAGTTGGTCGCCTCCTGCATGTCCCCAATGGGGATCGGGCCCAAAACCTGACTGGGAATCGAACCGGCGACCTCTTGGTGCATGGGTCGACGCTCAATCACTGTGCCACACCGGGCGGGCTTTCCCTGTATTCTTAAGGGGAGAGCAAGGTTGGGATCAACCACTATCAAAATGATGGTGTCTGTGGGGCCTCGTCTCCACGGCACAGCCGAGGCGGGTTGCATGTCACGGTGCAGTGTGTGCGCCTCCCGCTGCCAGCAGCCTCTGACCGAGGTGCGATTCCCTAGCCCGAAGCTACTGCTACACCACATCTGGGCAAACGGGGCCAGGTGAAGGGCTCAGAGAGCCCGGGTGATGGACGGTTTGCAATCTACTGGTCTCGTTACCTTCCTCAGGTCAGATCTTGTTTTTTAATCCTCACCCAAGGATATTTTTCCATTTATTTTCAGACAGAGTGGGAGGGAGAGAGAAAGAGAGAAACATTGATGTGAGAGAGACACATCGACTGGTTGCCACCTGCAGGACCCCAACCAGGGCCAGGGACGAAACTGCAACCGAAGTACGTGCCCTTGACTAGAATTGAACCCGCGACTCTGGTCCGCGGGCAGACTCTCCAACGGCTGAGCCACACGGGCCAGGGCTCAGGTCACATCTTTAGAGTAGCTAAAATAAACTGTCTGTAGCTTTTTTATTCAAACTGTCTTGGGTTAAAAGTGAGGGGACCTAAGGGATTCACCCCCAAAACATTCCCTGCTTGTCTTTGGGGACAGTTTCGTGTGATTGCTGTGTCTTTCCTTCATTCCTACGAGAAACATTTCCCGTGGTGTTACTGTCAGCAATTGCCCAGCCATCCACTCAATATATTTTACCGAGTGTCACTAGGGACAGGCCCTGGCTCTCTGACAGCGATGTCCAAAGCAATTAAACACGGCCACTGCCTTCCAGGGACCCCAGTCCACCAATCTTTCGAAGTTATGTATCCCCTTGAAAAGGTGGGGGAACTATTGACCCTCTCTAATCGTCAGAACGCCCGAGACTCATGAATGCATGCTATATCTAAGTTGAAGGGAACTTACACATCTCTCTCCAAACCCCCCCCCCCACAGAACCCTACTTGTGCACCCTCTACGGAATGCCGGGCCCCAATGCCTCTGTGCCTGAGAGAGAGATCATTTTGGATGTCTGATAGAGGAGCAATGTTTCCTCTGGTGAATCAAGCATGGGGGGAGGGTCTTGGAACCCCAGGGAATTGTGCATAACGTCAATATCCAATACCCGGCTGGAAGCCCAGAACGTTTATCCTGATAATGCCGCTTACGTGTTCTGGGGTTTTGCACACATCCCTCCTTTCTCTCACCGGACCTCCGTGTCGCCATCTCCCCAGCAATCAGTCATTCCCGACGAGCTCTGTGCCCTGCTCATCCCGACCTTCTCGGGTACCAGGCCAGCCTCTCACTGCTCCCAAGGCGCGGCCTCTCGGTCGGTGTGCTCGTGATGTCTCATGTTCTCACGCGCGGTGCCCGGGACACGCTAGCACACGTCCTGTGCACGCCCCTCCTCCCCGCCCAGCTAGCCTTTCTTAAAGAGTAGAAGCTGGCTTTGGAGAAAGACAAGACCTGGGCTCCACTGTGCATCCCGTCACTGAAGAGGTGGCTTGGACAATGTCCTCCTCCGTGGCAATGGGAAGAATAATAGTATCTCCCTCTTCGGCTTCCTGAGCCCTAATCATATCCCGAGGCTGAGTCACATCAGCTCCCAGTGTTACTCTCTTCATCTGCTTTTCCTCCCTCTCCCTCCCCACTTTCTGTCCTCCCTTTCTTCTTGCAAATTCAGATCTTGGAGGGGATTCCATTGCCATCCTTGTCCATACCCTTAATTTCTCCTTAGCTGGGGGAATGTGTGTAAGTACAACTGGTGGAAGGAAGTCAGGAGCGCAGATAAAAGCCATCCACCACTTGGTGTCTGAGACCCCGCAGGAGAGCCTGGAGCAGCCTCTGGGGGAAGGACGCCGGGCCAGCCCGGCCGGGGGGCCGTACCTTTCAGCTGCGCTGGGTGGCGACACTGGAAGGAGCATGTGCGGCCAAAGGTGGTGCCCTCGAGGCAGGAGAAGGAGGCAGCGTAGACGTGGTGTTGGTCCGGGGTGCCACAGTCCACGGGCTCGCACGCCACCTGCTTGCTCCACTTGCCCTCCGTGCAGGTCACTGTGACGCTGGGCCCCAGCTGGAAGGCAGAGGCAGACACAGTGAGGGGTGGCAGACTGCATCCCAGCTATGGGGGACACCCTGCTCCCCAGGCCACAGCTTGGTCTCCTCAGGGCCTCAGGAGACCACTGCTGAGGGTGTTTACCTTCAGCTCGCTTTTAATGCCAACAACCGATGCATTAGGCATTCCCGTTCCCATTTCAAAGGTGCAGAAGCCGAGGCTCAGAGACAGAGTGAGCATCCCCAAGGTACACAGCTGGAAATCAGATAAGTGGAAACCGAACCAGAGGCTACGCTCCTAATGGCTGTCTGTGGTTCCCCAGGTCATTATTTCACTGCATTGCAGTGTGGCAGCCAGGGGGCTGTCTAGGGAGCCGGGGGTCCTGGCCGTTTGTCCTCTGTGGCAAGCCCCTTTGCTCTTTGAGTCTGCCCACTGCCATCGGATCCCGGATTCTCCAGGAGCCTCTCCCTACTCTAAAATCGGCCGGTTCAACAGTTGAGAGAGGCAGATGTGAAAAAGGAACGAGGTGGGGAACGTCGCGGGGTCCGCCGCAATGCGCACCAAACCAGAAGGTGACGCCCCGTGGGTGAAGGGCGAGGACATGCTCCAGAGCCAAGGGGGGCACCGTCATCACAGCCCTGGGGCTCCCATGCAAGGAGGAAGCCGCCAAATCGCAGCGGATTAGGGATGCCAAATGTTGACCTGGGATTCTAAAAGCAAAGGACACTTTTCCCCCTTAAGCACACATCAAAGAGAGGAGAGGCCCTGACTGCCAAACGGGCTGACTGTTTCCATAGGTGGTCAGACCTGCCGTGTCTGACAAGCACACTGTGGCTTCCAGGTCCGCGCAAGTCGGCGTCCCCAGCCGCCCGGAGCGTGCCCTCTGTTTACAGCAGAGGCAGACACAGTGAGCGGGGGCAGGCAGCACCCCAGCTTTGGGGAACACCCTGCTCCCCAGGTGAAGGCAGAGTCGGCTGGCGGGGCCCTGGAAAAGCTGCATCTGGAGACAGAGCTCTGAACCCTCACGCCTCAGGCTTCACTGCCACCATGCCCCACTCTCCCTCGCCCACCCGAGACCCCTCAGCAACCTCTGGCTGAAGCAACCTCTGCCACACCCTAATCCACTCATTGCATCCCCCTCATGCAGGACACACCCCTTGTCCCTGGCCTCTTCTGATGGTCCCCCGAGAGCTCTCTCTGCAACCAGTCTCACTGCTAGACTTCAAGCCACACCCAAGTGCGCAGCCAGAAGGACCTTTATCAACCACGGTGAGACCACGTCACTTCCTTCAACAGCTCCCTGTTGCCCTGAAGATAAACCCCAAACTTCCTGACCCAGCTAACAGGACCTGTACCAGTGCACCTTCCACTCCAGCCTCATGCTTAGGTGAGTTCAGCAAAAGAAACATGTCTGTGGCATGCTCTTTCTCAGCGATGGGCTTCCACGTACCATTTCTGCCTGTGCCCAGAACACATACTTCTTCCCTCTCCCCAATACACACCCCTTTATCTATCTATCTATCTATCTATCTATCTATCTATCATCTATCTATCTATCTATCATCTATCTATCTATCTATCTATCTATCTATCTATCTATCTATCTACCTAATTCTCAGTTTTCATGTCACTTCTCCAGGGCACTTGCCTTGAATCCCCCTGTGTTTCACAACATCTCACACTTCCCTGTATAGTGCTATCACTCCGCCTGGTCAGGCCTCACTGGCTGCTCCCAGCCACTAGTCACTAAGTGGCTTGAAAGGAGGAACTAGGTTTATCTTAGTGACTTTTTCCCCTCTAACTTCTAGTATCGCCTCTGATTCCTAGTGAACGGGTGTTTTGTGATGAATGAATAAATGAATGAATGAACATCTCATCGACAGAGGGCTCAACTCTTCCTAAAGCAGCCCATCCAATTGCAGCAGAATTCTGACTAAAGGTTTCATTCAAAATGCTCAGCCATGGTCTTCCAGACTTGCAGCCTACACAAAGACTCTGACACGTGTGGTGCGGAACACTACTCTGCACAGAACCATTATCGCACAAATTCCAGATTGATGACTGACTCATTCAATCACCACCTCTTTACTGAGTGTCTACTAGGTGGTAGCACGATTTTAAATGCTGGAGGCCCAGCAGAGAGCGTGGTTAGCACCCGGATAGCCTTTCCGGGCTGGAGAGGGGCTGTACACCCAGCACCGGCACACACCTGGCTCTTGATCAGCTCGTCGTCCCGCTGGATCTGGAGCACGTAGCCCGTCCGGCAGCTCACGGTACACTGAGCACCATGGTAGCGGTCACTGCTGGAGCAGTTGAGAGAGGCATTCTCCACGGCCAGCTCGGGACAGTCAGTGGCCTCGCATGCGAAGTGCACACAGCTGGGGAGGGAAGAAACAAGGTAAGAGGGATCTTCCTGCGGGACCTCTGCACTCCAGCTGGAAGATAAAGGCTAATGGTCTCCCTCCCCAAAATGTCAGGAGCCCGAGACCGAGGAGAGGAAGAGGACATGGAGGGAAGGAAGGGGAGCTGGCTTGGGTGAGGAAGAACCTGGAGGCAGTGGTCACGTTAAGAGCACAAGTAACGGAAACGGACAAACCAGGGCTCAAATCCTCGAAAGCTTTACACGTTAGGATGCTTCGAACCTTGCCGAGCCTCAGTTTTGCCCTCTGTGAAATGGGACCATTCCATTATAGCAAGTATTCACTGTGTTTCTAACCTGCCCGACACTGAGTTGAATGAAAGCCTCTCTATATTTTATGGTGGTACTGACTTCCGAGGGCCGTTGTGAGAATTAAATCAGATGGTTCAGGAAAAGCACAGAGCAGAATTCCTGGCACCAAAATACACTCAATAAATGGTAGCTAATGGTATAAATAAATCTATGCTCTATCACCCAGAAGCTGTGTAACTCTGAGCAAGGTACATCACTGATATACCTTTAGTGTGTTCTCAAATTCGGCCAAGCCACAGAGCCACGAGACTCAACCGAGACGTTGACTGGAGAATTCTTTTTTTTTGGTACGTGCCCCTAGCGGGAACCGAACCTGGGACTCTCTGGTTCACAGGCCAATGCTCCAAGCGCTGAGTCAAACCGGCCAGGGCTGGAGAGAATTCTTTCATGCGCTGTAATTTATGAATTGTTGGGAAAACTGAACAGAGATCAGGCCTTGTGTCCTCTGCAGATGCTGTTCCAGTTGTCCTGCCGGTTCAAATTCTGCCCATTCTTCTGGCCCCCGGTCCGGGTACATTTCTACAGGACACTTGACCTATGTCCCCAGGTGGGCTTCCTTGCAGGATGCTGCCCTCCTTTCTCCTCCACTGTGGGGTCTTGCCTCACACCCTAAGTGCACAGGTCCTGGGCGCCCGCAGTGCCCAATGTGCTCCCCTTCGGATGCAGACAGAACGGGCACAGCACCCCGGCTCTGGGTGACCTTTTCCTTCCTGTTACAGCGACCACAACGCTCCGGAGCACGAATGGCTGGTCACTGATCGCTCACATACATGAGCTCACTCCATCCTCACGACAACCCTATGAGCTAAGTGTTATTCATTTTACAGTTGGAAAAATCGGGGACCGGTGAGATGACGTTACTTAAGTTCCCACCCAGATGTGTGGTTCCAAAGTCCCTGTGGTTAACCTCTCCCCACACCTGGACTAGAACTACCCTGAGGGTAGAGATAACGCCCAGTTCATCTGGGTACCCCTCGCGCTGGCAATAGCAATGCCCGCGTGGAGCAGACTGCCCTGGCCAGCCTGGGACGGGTGGTGGCAGGGTGTCCTGCAGCAGCTCCCGGGCAGTGCAGAGAGGCGGCTCCATCCCGCCCAGCGAGAGCTTCTGGGCCTTCCCTCGCTTTCGCTCGCTGACTGTCCCCGAGCCGGCCCGCACACCGTGAGCACAGAGAGCTGGATCTGTCCCCGGAGCCTCGGGCCTCTCATTTCCCTGTTTTCATCTAGGAGACAGGGAGCCACTGCTGGGCAAACCAGCTTAAGAAGTAATTCCCGATTTTTTCCCTGTTCGCGTTTCAGGCCAGGCTCCTAAGGGCTTTGCAGGAACAGGGTTACTCCCCACTGCGCTCCATCCTGTGCCGAGAAATCAAGCGCAGGGAGGGGAGGGAGAAGCTACAACCTCCAAAGCACAGCACCAACGAATTCACCTTTTTTGTCCAAATTCACTTTTGCAAACGCCTCGGAAAGGGTAAGCCTTTGACTTAGGTGTCAGCCCCCGTGCTGATGCGGGCTTTGCTTTATTGATTTTAGAGAGAGAGGAAGGGAGAGGGAGAGAGATAGAAACATTGATGAGAAAGAACATCGATTGACCGCCTCCTGCATGGGGATCACTGGGGATCGGGCCCACAACCTGGGCATGTGCCCTGACCGGGAATTGAACCGGCAACCTCTTGGTGCATGGGTGCTCAACCACTGAGCCACACTGGCCAGACCTGATGGGGACTTTGAACTGGCCACAGAGCCGCCTTGGGAAATGCGGGGCTAGCGGGATCCCTGACATGCTGAGATGTCCCATCCCCACCCTCCTTCCTGCGCCACAAGCCCTGGAGGAGACTAACTGCGGAGCCAGCATGAGGGCTCACACCAAATTGATCTGCTCACGTGGTAAGGGCCACACGGTCCCCGTTTAACTGGGTTCACGCTGGGAGCTACCAGGGTCCAAGCCGGTCTTCACCTCCACCTGCCAGACGGGCCATTCTCCCTCTGCACTCCCAGGAGGGCCCTGCACACATGTCTGTGGTGGCCCTGGGGACTCGAGAGCCCTGTCGACAGACAAGAAATCTGGGCTCCTCTGGGCTGCAGGACCACAAATTTTGTGCACAAAATGTTCCTCTTCGCAGGGAGAAGATAAACCAGAAAACTCAAAGTTCTGGAACGAAAAGAGCTCGGGCTCAGCACCTGGGCACATCTGGGCCTCAGCCCCAGTTCCGCCATTTCCACCTGCTGTTTGACCTTGGAAAGTTAAATGACACTCTGCGCCTCGGTTTCCTCACCTGTAAAGTGAACAGGATAAAATGACTTCTCTCTCAAGATTGTCAGCAGGGCGACATGTCAGCCACTCCTTCGTTTAGTCAACAGACCCTGCCGGGGGCCTGGCTACATACCAAACACTGTTCTCAACCCTGGGGGTACAGCGACAGGGCACAGGTCAGACTCTGTCACCGGAGTGTCTGAGAGGGGTGGACATGTGCCCAAAGAAGCAATGCAGAGCCTGTTTTAGACAACCATGCGTGCAGGAAGGGCCCTGGATCTAGGTGAGATTACAGAGGGCCAGGACACTCCGTGCAGGGGGCCAAGGGCAGCCTCCGTGAAGAGGGAACGTCTGAACTGAGGCCCGGATGAAACGGAGGATCAGCCATACGGAGGTTTGGGACGGAGGAATCCCAGGAAGAGGAGAGGGCGTGTGACGGCCCAGGACGTGGGGAGCTCATGCTTGTAAAAGAGAAAGACCAATGCAGGAAAGAGCTTTGGAAATGCAGCTCCAGGAGAAGTGGTCTCGCTACTCGGACTCTTTCTGCGATGGAAGGAAAATGTCTCCTGAGTGACCCAACAACAAAACTTCCACGGTCAGAGGAGGAAGGTGGCATTGCATTAGGGAACCTGTCAGCTCTCTTCACTGCAGGACTTCTCAGAACCTTGAAAGTTCTAAAGCACGTTGTGCATTTTCCACAAGAGGCTAGGGTGTGCATCATTTCCCAGATGCGGATACCCTTTTTCATGGGACTAGTGTCTTCCAGAGCACACGTTATGGGGTGGGGGGTTCCCTGCTTTTTCAGCACATCTGTCCGCACCTGGTTTGCAGGCCTGAGGACAGGAAGAGAAAGGGAAGAGTGGAAGTACGTGCCAGGCACGGCCTCTGTGTGTGACCTACAGCATCCTGTTTGCGCTCTCACGGCAACTCCTTGAGGTGGTGCTGTCCTTCCCCCCTTCCAGAAGAGGGGACTGATCAGAGGAGAGTTTAAATTGCTTGTCCAAAGGTACTCTGTGTGGACAGAATTCATGCAGATCTGCCTGTCTGCCCCCAAAGTCCCTGTTCCTCCTTTTGCTTTTTAGTTAGTTGGAGAGGGTTATGTGAACATATTACCCAAAAATGATAAACATGACCCCAACTGCCCCTCCCAAATAACTGCCTGACACAGCCTGTCATTTCTGAAACACAAAAACAAAAATTAAAACAAGAAAAACAAAACAAAACAAAAGCCTCTGGCTTCGTTAAAAAAAAAGTGTGTGTGTGTGGGGGGGGGGGGGCGGATTGAACACCAGTGATGGACAGTCAATGAAAATAATTCAGAAAGGAAAAAGGAAGACACTCTTCTCAGAAGGGAGGAATGTGGCTGATCCGAGGAATGGGGGAAGGGACACAGGTAATTTATTGATGAAATTCCCACATCTGGGCAGAGGTGGAGAATTCTCCCCTGCTTGACCCCCGCCCTTCCCCGGATGCGGAGATAATCAGATACTTATGAATTCTCTTTTCTGATCTACTTTTAACTTACTTACTTATAGACTCAAATTCCACGTAGAGGTGAAACCTTAGGTGATCTGACGGCCAAGCCCCCACATGCTGCCCCGCCCCACGCGAAGTAGCCCCGGCATGCATTGCAGAGGATACTTGGGTCCTACTGAGACCACAGCGGAGCCCATGATAAGGGGCGGCGAGGGTCCTCTCCTGCCCCTCCGCCCTTGACTCCTGGCTTAGCTCCCGCCCTTGCTGCTCGGCTGTGATCATGCGGGGGGAGTGGAGGGAAACAGGCAGATTTTTATAAGTCATTCTGGGCTGTTCAGATGGGGACAGCAAAACAACCAGCACAACAACAAAACGCAACCCAGCACGCCCGACACTTCGGGGAAAGGGGAGCACTGGCCGGGCTGCTGGGCACCTGGGAAGTGAGACCCGCAGAGCCCCGGGGAAGCAGTCCTAGAAGGCTCGGCAGCCCTGGATCCTAGAGGCCAGTGGCGCGGAGGACAGAGGAGGGGACCTTAGACCTGCTGAAGGCCCGGTGAGGGGGCGTGCCTGCGGGAGGCACCCACGGGGCCGAAGCAGCCGTCACTCCAGGCCCAGGCTGCCTGGTGGCACCAAGGGCCCGCGGCTGCTCTGGCCTGTGGGACAGCAGTGCTCGGACCTCTGGTGACAGGAAAGGTCTCGGCCCTGGATCTGGAGAACTGGATGCAGTGCCGGTTCTGCCCCCACTGTCTGGGTGATTCGGGGTGACTCGCTGCTCTTGCCTGGACCTTCCATTTCCGTCCTCAGCTCAGAGAGTCCCCCAGCTTCCGAGGTCGCAGGCCCACGAGGACAGGACAACAGGGGGATCACTGCCGAGCTCTCGGGATGGGACCCAGGAGACGGTGAAGCCACGGGCTGACAGGATAGAATAGCGGGACCCCGGGTAGACGCTGATGGGGCGAGCGGACAGCATTCTGGAGAAGACTCAGGGAGTCTCCGGGAGCTGAAGACACACGTGTGAGGCACCACACTCCCGTCTGAGGTGGGTCCCCGGCCCTGCCACCCCGGCCGATGCTCGGAGAGGCGCCGATCCCTTGGAGGGCTGGAGAAGCTGGGTGAGAGTGTGGACAGCATCCAGGGCCTGGGTCTCTGGCCGTGAGCGGCTCCGTCTGGGCTCCAAATCTCATGCAGGAATTCCTGTACCTTCACCCAGGAGGCCAGTCCACGCAGGCTCCCGTCAGGCACAGATTCCAGGGACCCCTGGCTCTAGCCCTGGGCGCCCACCACCCCCCAACACAGGACCCCCCCGGCGGGAGGAGCTAACCTGCCCACGGGAAGAACTTGCTTTCCTCTTAGAGTCAGCTCCTCACAGTTGTCCCTCCCCAAACGGCCCCTCTGGGGGTGGGCTGGCCCCAGGTCCAGGAAGAGTCCGAGGTACAGGGAGAAAGAATAGAAAAGGAAAAGGGGCAGGAGAAGGGAGGAAGGAAGGAAGGAAGGAAGGGAGGGAGGAAGGGAGGGAGGGAGGGAGGGAGGGAGGGAGGGAGGGAGGGAGGGAGGAAGGGAGGAGGGAGGAAGGGGAGGGTGAATGGGAAGGAGGGAAGGTGGGTGGGAGGGAAGGAAGTTATTGGTCTAAACACGTGGCCCACTGGATTTTGTGATAAACTGATACTGCTCAGTGTCTGCTTCAAACCATGAGGGTAGATAGAGGCAGTGTGTGTGTGTACGTGTGTGTGCGTGTGTGTGCGTGTGTGTGTGTGCGTGTGTGTGCGTGTGTGTGTGTGTGTGTGTGAGATAGACACGCTGGAGCCCCAATTCACACTTGTTGCTTTTCTCATTGAAAAAGCCTCTTAACCCCCACCCCCGCCACCATCACTGTCACCCCCATCTTTCCCCTAACTGTGTGGAGCTGGGGTTTGGCCAGAGTTCCACAACGCGATCTCTCGTTTGAAACCGGATCCTGTTTCCTTGGGTCCCTGAATGTACTGCAAGCAGCACACCGGGACTGGCGTCCTGGGGTCTGGGTCCGCACACACCCCTGAACTGATGCGGAGTCGCCACGCTCTCCCCGGCAGCCCACCAGGTACCATGCTGCTCGAGGAGGAGAGGAAGAGCAGGAGGAGGGAAAAGAACTGAGAGAGAAGAGAGGGGCAGGGGACGGAGAGGAGGGAAGGAACAGACGGGGAGGGAGGAGAGGAAGGGGTGAGGGGCGGGGAGGGGAGGACCAGCACCTTCAGGACCCCCAGAAGCTGAGAGTGAAGTGCTGTCCCTCCTACGAGCGCATCTATGACAAGCGAGGCTCCTCACCTCACATCTGAGGGTGAAGGAAGCACCCCGCGGCCTTTCACAGCCCAGCCTGTCCCCGCGGGGCCCCGCTCAGGGGAACGTCCTCAGCACCTGACCTCCCGCAGACTGAACGCTCCCAGGCGGGCCGCTGAGGCCACTGTTCCTGGCTCTGGGGGGCAGAGCGTGGCCTCCTGGGGCCCGAAGCAGGGCTTTGCCTCAGGCTCCTGGGCTCACACGCTCTGCCCATACCTCCCAGGACAGTGACCACGGAATGACAGTAAAATGATGCGCGCCGGCCCCTCACTCCTGTCGCCCTTCCTAGCTCTGGAGTCACAGACCATCAGAACTGGAAAGAACCTCAGAAACATCAGTCCATGATCGTGTCACAGATGGGGAAACTGAGGCCCAGAAGAAGCCGTGCCGGGTTCGCAGGCGTGTCCCTGGCAGGACGCTGGCCCCGCTGTGATGCTCTCCCACAGGTCACAGCGGTCGACAAGCTCCAGGGACTTGTTCTGCGGTCACACCTTCCTACTGTGTCCTTCGGACACAAGCAGTGCGGACTGAGGACCCCAGGAGCCAGTGTGGCCTCCGTCCGCGCGAGGGCGTGCGGTTGTCTGGGTGTGGAGGGAGAGCGTCGTGGGCGAGCCGGCGGGGCTGCCTTTGCCACCAGTGTCTCTGGGTTCTGAGAATCCGCTTATTTTTATCGTCTGGAGAGCCAGGGGGTGAGGAAGCCTCTCAGGGTGAATATAACAATCAGGGATATTTAAGCAGCTCCCTGGCCTCCAAAACATTGCAACAGACTTTGCACAACAGCAGAGAGAGACGGGGGTGCAGAGCAGTGTGGGTTCCGCAACTACAGAGGTAGCAGGGGCGTGGGAAAGGCCGTGTCACCCCCCCGCCCCAGCCCTCTCCTCTCCTCGCCCCCAGGTACCCAGGGCAGGGCTGAATCGCCTTTCAGAGGGCCTCACTCTGGGGGAGCCCACAGAGACCCCAACTCTTTCTTTCTCCTTCGGGATCTCATTAAACAAACATGAGAGACGCTGTGTGCCTCTGGACCCGTCCTTCCCCTCCGGGGGCCCCTGGAATTCTAGAGAGCACAGAAGTTTGGACACTTTCATGCACTAGATACTCCCGGAGGTTCTTGCAGCCCCTCCTCTGAGAACTCCTGCGAACTCTGTGTGGAGAAGCACCACCACCCTACGGAGACAGCCATGTCCTTCAGGAACGCATGCTCTTCGCACGGTGCCTAACATTCTGCGAGGGCACCTTCACCTACCGCGCCCCGTTTAACCCTCACAACCAGCCTCTGGGCCAGACGTTAGCATCCGTGTTTCCAAAACGGCACCTTAGGAAAGTGAAACCACTTTTTCCTGGACACAGGATGGTGTCGATTCAGAGCCGGTGAGAGGGTCACCAGAGCCCCTCTTCTGTCCAGGAGACACCTTCACCTCTCGGCCCTAAACAGGGCCATGGACAGAGGCCCGAAGGAGCTGATGCTATGCAGCTGAAAGACAGGCTCTCAGACCACTGGGGGAATCCCAGGATCTGGGCTTGGAGGTGACAGATCTCACCTGTCACCGAAACAGGCAGTGAGCTGGGATGAGACAGATAACGGTCCTCCTCGCCCCTACATTTCAGAGTCATGCCACGGTCTGTGCTCCTTGGGAGGCAGGACGTGCCAGTGCTTCAGAGCCGAGAGCGAGCTAACCCCCCTCTCCTCTCTGTTCGAACGAGGGTGTTGGGGCCCAGAGAGCGAAGGCAATGCTCCCAGGGTCACCCTGCAACCACCCATTGTCACCACTGTCAGTTCTGGGGGTGCGAGCCAGAGGTCCTCTCCCCACCCAGCCCTGCTGCCCTTCCTGCCCCCTGGAGTCCGGGCCCAGAGGCAGAGCGGGGCAGAGCCCAGAGGACGGAGAAGCGACTGCCACAGCGGTCCAGGCGGCCCTCCCGCGCCAGAACTCCTCCACCTCCACTTGGCTACGAAATGGCCCAGGATGAGCAACCCGGGCGCTTACCTCTGCTCCGCAGAGCTGTAGGTCTCTCCTCTCTGGCAGCTGCTCAGGGTGACGGGGTCAAAGCTGTCGAAGGAGCGCAGGGCCACCCCCGAGATGGCGACCAGGGGTGAACTGAAGCTCACACGCACCGCCCGGCTGTGGTAGAAGGGCTGGCTGAGGTCATGGACCACAGGGATAATCAGAGGATTGTTTCTGCAGCTCAGGACATGGAGGCCTGTCAGGGGAGACAGAGGGCCGGGGGGCCAGGCTCATTACTCAAGGCCAGTCACGCCCTCCCCAACAGTCCCTTCCCGAAGCCCCCAGACCCTTTCATGTCTCTGCACAAAAGCACCATTGGGTGGCCGGTGGGGATTTTGAGTTTGATTGAAAGTTTCTTTGTCTGCCTTTTTCTCTTGGTTCCAAATCTTTCCAGCCCCCTTGCCTCCCTGCCCCCTAAGCCTTCCCTTCACCTAGCGCCCACAGCCCTGTCCTCCCCCAGGGGGCCACCCCTCCGCCAGCATCCCTGGCCCCTCCTCCCTCCCACGCTGGCCGCGTTAGAGCTGGATGGCTTGAGTTGCCCGTTTGCAGGCTGCCGTCCAGAAATAATTCACAGCAACAGGCCACTCGGTGGGGGTGGGGAGGCTCGCATTTTTAATCCAGCAACCTGTGAGCAGCGCCGGGAGTAGGTAAAGGCCCCTGCGACCCTCCTGTGGACGGAGACTGAGAACCCCGCGCAGGAAGAGGCTTTCCGGAGGGACACGGAACAGCCAGTGATCGGAAATCCCAGTGGACCGCAATGGGTCGCACTCCGAAGCCGGGGGTCTCTGGAGAACAGGGAGCAGCCCGGCCTCAGACTGGAGAGAGAGGGGCAGGGGGAACGGGCACATCCGGGGAGGGAGTGAGTGCCGGGCAGGGCGCAGTGGGCGAAGCGAAGCCCACTTCTGTGCAGGTGGAACTGGGCACACGCCACCCCTCAGCCTGTGACCCAGCAAACCCTCACACCCCTCCTGTGTCTAGGAAACGGGCTGGGACATGCAGCCCAGCACCCCAGGCTGTGGCTCACGCTCTTAGGGCCCCAGGCTTCTGCAGGGGAAGCCAGGGTGCTGAGGCCGAGGACGGGGCGGCGGGGGGACAGGGGCAGCGGACGCCGCAGGCATCGAGCAGCAGGACTCAGACCGTCCGCTCCGCGGCGAAGGCTCTCGAGCCGGTCGTGCCAGGACAGCTATGAAAATATTTGCTTCCCACTTAGGGAAATTTACCAGGAATCCAGATAAGTCCAGAGGGGTTTTCTTTCTCTTCCTTATTAGGATGTTCCCCCTTGCCTTTAAAACTAACTAAATAAGTAAACACGAAAACAAAACCAAAACGCCCTGGCTGCTCCCTTGGCTTCTGCTTGACCCCGGGACGACCCCTGCCGGCTTGCTGCCTAGGGGTCTTTGAGACAGCCCCGCGGAATGGTGTGGGCACGGCTTTGAGGCCGTGGCACCGGCGGGAACCCCAAACCCCCCGCAGGGCCGTACTGGAAACCTGGGAAGTAACAGGACGTCCTAGGGCCAGGCCTGCGCTAGGACGGCCGGCACCTCAAGGCATAGCTCACTGAACGCGGTGCTCGGACTGCGAATGGGTCCCCGCCCGACTGCAGGAGGGAAGGCACAGCTCGCAGTGAGGCACTGAGAAGTGGAGGAAACGGTGCCCCTGTCCCAGGTGACTGAGGGGTGGGGGCGGGATTCCAGCCTTGGCCACCGGCTCTGGAGTCCGGACTCTGCCTGGGTCCGTGGGTCCGTGGGTCGTGTGCAGAGGCGGGTGGTCCCAGTGACACCTCCAGCCCTCGTTCCCCCGGCCTTCCTACTCCCGCGTCGGACCCTTCCCTGTTCTGACCTCCGTGGAAAAGTCTGAAGCTCACACAGGACACACGGTTGGCACTTTGGGGCATCACAGCACCTCTGCAATAGGGTGAAGAGCTACTCAGCGCGACCCGGGGTCTCTTTGGGTCTCAGGTGCCCTACAGGTACAGCGGGAAACAGTCTTTGCCCATCTGGTTCCCAAGCTCTGCTGAGGATCACAGGGGATGCGAGGTTAAAGGTGTCTGGAAGGGGGGCTTTCACACTGACCCCTCACCCCGTATCTGTCAGGGTCAGACTTCTCTGATGTCCTGGTTCGACGGCAAGCAGATGCCAGGTGGAGAACATGACAGAGGAAAGGGGAAGAAAGAGCTTCCCCAGCTGACCCTCACGACCACGCACGGGCAAATGTGCAGCCAAGTACCGAGAGCAAGTCAGGCCCGAGGGACATGCTCACCTAGATCGTGGCTCTGATCTTTGGTATCGAGCAGCTGGACGCTGATGGTTTCCTGCTTCTGGTCCCCATAATAGGTCCCATCAGTCACCAGGTGGACAATGACCGCCGCAGCAACCATTGGCTGAGAAAAGTATGCCTGCAATGCATGTGACATAAGAGGGTCACTCATGCCCTGTCCCGTGTGGGGGAAGCAGCCACAGGGCAGGGACTGCATGGAGAACCTCCTGTCACTGGAATGAGACGACTCACGGGGCGTCATGGTGGGGACGGGGAGGCAGTGGGACATCAGAGGGAGGCACACGCTCTGAGATCAGAAACTGTTCCAGTCCGGGCTCTGCTCCTTCCGAGACGCTCCTGTGGACGGTCTGCTCTGGGCCTGTGTTCCCTCCCCTCTAAGTGGTGCATTCAGGAAAGGCCTGTGTCACAGGGCGGCCGTTAGGCTCAGTGAGATAACGGGAGTCAAGTGGCTGGCACAGACTAAAACCACACAAAAATGGGACTGTAACCATCTGTCCCTTCTCCATGCTGACCTCTGTACTAGGCACCGAGGGGACAAAGCTAAATCAGAAATGGCCCTTGCATCTACAGACGCTGGGGTTCACCACAGGCCAGTGACCTGCAGATAAGCATTCAGTACAATTCACAGTCCTTCAGAAGATGGGCTCACAGACTGCTGTGCAATACCATGTGACAAGTGCCTCCAACCGATGACCACACAAGTGCAGGACTAGATGGGAGGGAACAGTCACTTTTTTCTGGGGGGAGTCACTAGACTTCAGGGAAGAGAAGACAATGTTCAAAGGTCTTGAGCAATCAATAGGAGGTTCCAGGCAGACAAAGGTACCCAGACTCTGCTAAAACAAGAATCACTGGGGCGAGGGGAAGGTGGTTATTTCACAAGCAATGAAGGAATTCCATTTCAGGAAGCATCCACCACTAAGTGTTTTGTCCCCTGTCCTTACACTGCACACCCTCAGGGGTACTGAGAAAGGGTCACAGGAGGCAGTGCGTCGGGGCCACTGAGGACTCGCAGGTTCTCCAAGCTCTGCTTACCCGGAGCCAGAAAGTGAGCTGAGTCAGCTGGGAGTAGGAGTAGCTGACGGTGCAAGGGTACCAAGCGTGCTGGGAGATGCCTTCACTGAGCTCGATCACCTTGGTTCGACACACCTGGGAAGAGATAAAGACAAACAAGGGTTGCGGAGGGTCGCGGAGGTTGAATTACATTCAAATGGATAAACCTTTACCATCGACGTCTGTTGTCCTTGGCCACGTAGGAAGAGATGGGGATGAAGAGACAAGCCAGAGTCTATTCCAGGAGCCCACATTCTTACGTGGAAGAGGAAATCCTCAGTGCTCTCCAGGAAAGAACAGACAACATGTTTTCGTGATCGAATCAATGAGTAATTCTTATGGGGACAACCTCCAGAGGAGCTGGTATTTGAGTTGGGTCTGGAAGAACAAGGTAGAGATAGGGGAAGGGCGGTGCAGGTAGGGGGAACAGAAGCGAGGCTCCGAGGAGAGCAGAAACCCAGAAGGGCCAAGTTGGGATACGCTGCCTGTTTTATTAGAGTTTGGAGAAAGTGGAAGGATAGATAGGCTAAGGGGTTGGATCTCAGACTCTTGAATACCAAACAGAGCCCTTTAGAATAAATCAGTAACCTGTGCTCAGGGCACTACTAACAACAGAGCAAGATTACGACAGTAGGGACATTTGCTTCCCCTAAAGAAAATCAGCCCCACCACTTCCTATAAATCTATGTACACATATCTACACACACACACACACATTCATTCTCAATGGCAGACATACCAAGTGGTGTTAAGAGAAACACAAAGTATGTCTAGATGAGCAGAATTCTTCAAACTTAGGGGTTTTGTGTGTATCCAGATGTCATTCCACTCATTGGTTCATTCATTCCGACAAATAATATTTATTGAGTAACTGCTCTTTGCCAAGCACCGTGGGACAGGATGATGGACAAGACAGATGGTGAGGAGCTCAGAGTGACAACGTATGCAGATGTTCATTAAGTAATTACACAGGCACACGTAACCGTGCATCGTAGAACAGAAAGGGGTTCAGGTGGAAAGGACAGCTGAGTTGTTCTAGTGATTTGTAGAAGGCCATCTCATATGAGTGCTTTTCCTCTGAGCTCTAATGTGGCTCCTCTCTCGAAACCTCCCTGTGAATTTGGCCCTACCATTCACTTCTGCAGGTCACAGTCTACTCATCTAGGGAGTAAGGCTGACCTAGAGAGGATCAAGACATTCAAAGATCAAACTATCCCCTCCATCAATATCTACAGTAGCAAAAGATGGGAAATAGCTTATATGTTCATCTGTTAGGGATGGGATGCATAAAATATGACATATTCACATGATGGGATTCTATAAGCAAAAGGGTATTAAGAGAACTGAATGAGGTTCATATTCAGGATGATACTAACAATATTTAGCCCCTGTTCAGTATGGGTCTTGGCCAAACAAAATGGAAGCCCTACTTGTGAGTTCGTAGACATCACCGTGGAGAGACTGCAAAATCATAACATTGAGTGAATTAAAAATAACAAGGCCTAAGTGTTAGGTAAGTACATTGTGACGCCATTTATAAAAATCACACAAAGCAACACTAAACCAGGGATTCGTATAGATGAGAATAGAAGAATTAAAAATGGAGTGGAAAAGTTATACATCAAATTCATGAAATCAAACCCAAGAAAAAATACTTGGCTGCAATGTAATCTACAATGACAAACATCAGTGCTTTGTTTTTTAAAAATAAGCTTTTTGTTTTGGAGCAATTCTTATTTACAGAAAAGTTGCAAAGATAAGACCAGGACTTCTCTATGCCCTTCATCTAATTTCCCTTAATGTTAACATCTTCATCAATTCATTCTTGAGACCTCAAATAAAGGAAGAGAGTTGCTTAATCAATTTTGGAGAATCACATGTTGTCACCCAAGAGTTCTGCACTGGGGAGCTAGCTTTGGATTAGGGAGAGCTGGTTCTGGTCCAAGCTCCCCAGCATTTGATATGTAATTGTGGGCTAGTTATCTCACCCCTTGGGACCTCAGGTTTATCTTTCACATTTGAATATTGGACTGTGTCATAGGTTTTCAAGGTATCACCTATGAATTCCTAGGGATCCTTGGAGGTGTCAGCCTGGGGGTCAGGAGGAGGGAAAACCTGTTTAGTTTCCGCTCCACCGTTTTGACCAGAGATTCATCTGAGCATCATCTGTTTCAGATATTGAGCTGCCTTGTAAAGTTCATTTCAGAAACGAGCTTCCCTGCTTTCAAAACATTCAAAAGTATTGAAACGTGTTCATTGCCAGAGCCTCCCTCCTCACCCCCCGAGGCATCAATGGTCCTGAAAATACAGTACTGGTTTCCTGAATGTCCCAGGTCCCTTCTTAAGGAGAGTAAAGGTCCCAAGAATCAGCCATCTCCTTGGCCATGGATTAGGTGATGGCTTCAGGTATTCAGATCTCTGGAAGCTTAACACCCAGGGCACGACGGGCAAAATACAGTCACATTAATGGACTGGAAGACGTTTTCAAGTTTATTTATTTTTCTCAAAAACAACTGGCATGGATCTTAGGCCGATCTGCCAGTGGATTGTGTTACATTTTACAACAGAGCGAGACTTTGCATAAACTATCTGTGGCATTTGAAATCCAGGCCAGCAATTCGACATGTATCATTTTGGACTTCTCTCCCCTTGTGTTCTGAGCCGCCTGTCCCCCAGCAGAGCGTGGTGGAGCACATCTCTGGAGGGCTGGGGTGTGTGTATGCAGGGGGTGGGGGGCTTATCTCCGCATCTGAAGCATGCACCGTCAGAGAAGTCTCGGATGTGAACAAAGCCCTCTTATTGCTTAAATACAATTTCCTCTTATCTCCTCAGCCCTATCAGCACTAGACAGGGCTTTAGGAGAACATGCTGCTGAGATTTCATTCTCCTGTTTCCCTATTTAGTTTTGTGTTTGTTTCAGGCTGGCTGGGATCCTGACCAGGGGCGGTCAAAGCAGATCAGAGAGGAGCAAACAAATCCAGCGGAACCTTGGCCCAAAGCCCCAGTTGATCTTAAAACCATCTAGGTCCCCGGAGAGGTGGGGGGAGACTGCAGGGGGCGCACACCCACAAGCCTCCTGCGTTTACATACCTGACATGAGTCCGCTCACTCAGCACCCATTGGTTGAGGGTGCGTGGCTCACCAGGCTCCGAAGCCCGGAGAGAAAAAAGGCCTTGCCCATGGCCATACGGGTGGTCCCTGAGGATGCAAGAGTGATCCCCAGGTAACTAAATTTATGGGGATGCTCTGTTCTCATCCACCCTCTTTTTTGCACCTTCCCTGCAAAAGTGAATCCAACTCCACAAAGCACGACGGAGCAACGTGGATTTTACTGAGCAGGTGGGGGAATCAACAGGAGAGTTATCACACAGCCCATGTCAGCTCAAGCTCTCCCACCAACACCCCAAGTTCCTCTTCACTCCTTTCTCCCATTTCCTCAGTGTCCCTGGCTCCAGTGGCCTTCCCAATCTCTCCCATCCTTCTCCTCCTTCCAGTCTGCACCTCTCTCAAAACTCGTGCAGAGCCACCTGCTTCCCCTGAGACCCTCTCCTCCATACACAGATCTTTCTGATGACGCCAAGGGCTCCCCAGCCCCCCAGGCCCAGACATGCCAGAGGGCTGAACATAGTAGCTTTTTTACTCTCTTTGTCACGCTGGTATGAATGAGCTCTGACCCTCCCTTCACACCACTCACTGTCTGTGGCCCACTTCAAGGGGGCTGGGGAAACACCTGCAGCCTCTGGGCTTCAGGTTCCCGAGGGAGAAGAGGGGGTACCTACTGAAACCTGCTGTGCCTTGCCATGCCCATGTTCATCGCAGTATCAGTCACAATGGCCAAGATGTGGAAACAAGCCAACAACTGCCCATCGACAGATACACTGATAAATAAAAAAGTGGTATATATATATATACACACACAATGGAATATTATTCAGCCTTAAAAATGGAAGGAAATTCTATCATTTAAGGCAACATGAATTAATCTTGAGGACATTATACTCAGTAAAACAAGGCAGTCACAGAAGGGCAAATACTACATGATTTCTCTTAGATGAAGTATCTGAAATAGTCAAATTCATAGAATCAAAGAGTGGAATGGTGGTGATCAGGGGCTGGGGGAGGGGAAAAACGGAGTGGCTGATCAATAGGCTTAAAGTTTCCGTTAAGTAAGATGATTACATTCTCAAGATCCAGGTACAACATTGTATCTGCAGCCAGGAATACTGTATTGCTGTACTGCACACATAAAAAGGTAAGAGGGTAACTCTCTTGTGAGGCGTTTTATCCCACTAACATGAAATAAACATTTTGAATGGTTGAAATATCGATGTTCATTAAATGAATGACTATAGTAATAAACAAATAATCTAGTGAAGGGGGTTGGGAAATGTATATAATGATGCTAGCCAGAGAGTAGATGAGGCTGGTACACACCTTCACTCGGTCTGGTCAGAGTTGGCGGAGGGCTTACCCGGCATCTTCTTGATTATTTCATGGACAGAGAACTCAGTTCCATTTGCGGACAGTCCGATTTACCTCTGGACAGCCCTTGCCAACAGCCAGGGCAAGACTTCCAGCTGTGCTTTCTTCTACCATTTCTGGGAACTTGAATACAGGTTCTCTACTGAGATGGTTCCTTCTTCAGGGGTCAAGAGAAGGAGGCGTTTTGCGCAATATAACACAGGAAGTGGCAGAGTTGTTATGAAAATGCAAATCTGATGCCCTTTCCTCAGCTACGTTCTGCATCCTCTCATTCCTGCTTTTGTTGGGTAGAACCTTCTCCAGTGAAAGTTCTCTATCTTCCCCGAGAATTCATGGCGCAGACAGCAGACAAATCCTGGGGTCCATGCCCCTCTCCTTTCCAAGAAACTCAGCCCCACGACTCTGATGGGCGCTGAGCAGGTTAGTGCCTCTTGTCACCTGTAGGAACCAAGGGCAAGCAACCACTTCCCCCTTTGGCCTCGAGGGGGGGCCTCTTATCTTTGGCACAATCCCTTAAACTCTCCATGATCTTCGGAGAAAACTGCTTACTTCAATGACCACCCATGGGAAACAGGAGACCTGGGTCACTTCTGGCTGTGCCACTTATTAGCTGG